GCCCTTCACCAAGCTGTCCTTCCTTCCCTGTGCTCTCTTGCTGCCCACTTGACCTGCGGTCATGGTGAGCCTCAAACTACTGACAGAGTGGGAGCTCTTAACCCAGTCCTCCTTTAATAACCTTCTGTTGTCCTATTAACACTCTCATATCTACATTTCCACTCATACCTGGAAGGCAACAGTGTACCCAGGTCTCAGGCCCTCGAGTTGAAAAGACGTCACTGAAGAAGTGACATTGACAGCAGTCCAGCCTTCGGATGTTCTTCTTGCATCACTTTGGTTGGATATGTGATAGAAAATTTCAAACCTTATCAGCATGCCATTTTCATGCCTAGGTGTGTCCCACCTAAACTCTACCACAACTTCATTCTTGTTGAGGGATCTTTCACTTGGTAATACAAATATTCTGGGGTTTTCTGGTGTAGATGGAACTGCAAAACAGAAGTGGAGACAGGGCCAAAAAGAACATAAGGCTGACTTCTACCACTCAAGGGTGGCATATGGACTTCTTATCGGTAAGTATTCTTCACTTCAGAGAACTGAGGTAAATCTCTCAGTCAGGAGAAAATATTTTATAGATTTCTTCAGGAAGTCATCATGATATTTTAGCAAATCCAGTGACTTCCTTGAGTCCAACCCAAATCCCTTCTACTACTGCTCAAGCACATCTTTCTTATCTGTGTCCAGTGTAGAGAGGGAGTGGCTGGTGCTCTTCCCAAAGTACAGCATTCACTCTCGTCCCCATACAGTGATAGCTGGAGGGAGGCAGTCAGTCATCAGAAGGAGAAGTACCTTTAACCAGCCTTCAGCCAGTGCTGGGTGTAAAATACGGCATACCAGAGATCCACCTAAGCCCTTGGGAAGCAGGCAGTGTGGAGAAGAATGATGACCTCTCAAGAACAGGGCCTGGAGGCCCCAGCCAAACCAAGTGTGCACCCTCCTAGTCCTGAGCCTTGTTTCCACGCCACTCTACCAGCCCTCTTCTCCTCTTTTGTCCTAGAGTCCTCCACAGGGTCTCCACACCTTCCCCATCCCAATCACATTGCTCCTTAGTGCATCACTCTCACAGTGTACAACCCCGGGCCTGCACACACTCTCTTCACATGGGATGCTGGCTCCTGCTCCATCCCTCAGAGCCAGGTAATGTTTCTGCTCCCAGAGGCCTCCCTGGCCATGTGCATCCACACCAACTCCCTCTCCTGAGCAGCCTGCAGCAGTATGACACAGGTGTATTTTCATAGTGGCAGCTACTCACTATACGCCATTGCTGCTGGCTATCAGTGTTTTATCTCTGGGATGTGTGTTTATCTCCATGCTATTTATGAGATCCATTAGAGAAAGCATCTTTTCTTATCCTCTATTAAATTCTCCAGATCTAGCACAGGACTGAGGAAGTACATAGTAAGTGCTTAATAAGCATATAGTAAGCACTTAATAAATAGTGGGCAATTTGAACAATTTCTTATTTTATTTTAAATATCTCAAAGGAAAGGGCCAATCCTGTCATCCTGCCTTATAGCCCCTGAGCCCTATTTCCTTTTCTATAAAATAGATTCTGGCAAAAAAAATAAGCATTACTTAACTGTACATGAGCACTATTAAATAAATGAAGTGAGCTATGCATGGATAAACTGATCTCTTAACTTCTTTTCATCTGATGAATGTGTTAAGTCCATTTCTGTAGAGCAGTACAACAAAGCTGATAATACAAGGCCACCCCAAAGAGAGCACTCCTGGACCCAAACACAACGTGTTTCAGTCAATGCCCAGCGTTCTCGAGGCTGCTGCTGAGAGGCTCAGGGGTAAATAGTGTTGAATGAATCATAACAGTGAAAAACAGAATGGTGGCTAGGTGTCTATGTTTATTGAGCCCTCATTGCCTGCCAAGTCCTGTGTTAGGAAATTTACATAAGTTAAATTAATAATTTCCTCCCACTTGTGATGAGACATTCTATGAAATTGTAGTAAAACTCCTGGATTAGGTTCCTTACCACTTAGCAGCCATTTCTCACGGGCAACCACAGATCTTCCATTTCCTCACTTGCTTAATCACGATTTGACACCTGTTCTACATACCTCACAAACGTGTAAGGATCAAAAAAATTATATTTTTGGTACACAGTAGGTGTGTAATAGGCATTTTAAAAGAGTGATATATATGTTTTTGTGCACTTTAAAGTGACATACACATGTAAAAATGTGGTTACACATGTAAAAATATGATTAGTAACCATAGTATGTATGGTTAGTAACCGTACACATGTAAAAGTATGGTTAGTGTGACTTACATATGTAAAACTGTGGTTAGAAACACAACACTGATGAATGCACACATCTGTTGCCAGTACATGTGAGAACTTTTCAAAACAGATTTCCAAGAAACATAAAATATAAAAACATACAACATAAAAATAGCAGTTTTTCACCCAGTGAACATCCTGCCTTCTAAAAAATTATTTCTATTCTTCAATACACATTTCCTTAGGAAAGGTTTTGAAAGGTACCTGAAACACATGTATGCATCTTATATATCTTATAATTAAGTGAAACATCCTTTAAGAAATCTTTGAAATGTTCTTCTTTTAAAATAAGTTATGCAGATTTATTTTAATGATATTCTTCTAAAACAGTTATTAAAACAGTTATTAAAAAGGTAGAGAATCTAAACACACCTATGAAACTGAAAGTTATTTTAAGTATCATTAACTATTCATTCCAGATCATGGAAAGTAAGATTCGGCATCTTGTTATTTTAAAGAGAGAATTTTACCCCTGTACCTGTATCAGGTGCTCGAAGTGATAGAGATGTTCTGGGTCCCTTTCCCCAGTATGTATAAGGAGTGACAGAGAGATTAAATAAGGCATATGGCTCCAGCCCTTCCACAGTAAATACAGGTAAAAGCTGCTTTTCACTAGCCAGAAACTAAAATATAAGCACAAAACATTATTTCCTTAGGGGAAGAGTTATAACATTTATCATTCCTGATTAACTAAAACCCCCAAACTCGGCTTCATTTGTAAAGTCAATACTTGGAATCTTGGAAAGGCCAATTTCAGCAGGTCCGAGGGCCAGTGAAAGTGTGTCCAGCATGGCAGTTAGCACAAAGTGGTCAAGACAGGCAATAGACAAGCTAACAACCCTGATAACCAAATACCAAGGCAACTACAGAAGTGAAGGGCTTGACTAAGTGAACAGGGCAAACACAATGTGTGCAGAGCTGACGTGGACAGCATAGCGTGTGTCCCCATGGAAGTGGCCAGAACCAACACCATACCTTGGAGTCAGCACTGACTTCTACACTGTAGAAAACCACACCCCAGTCCACTGCGGGGGGACTGCTCCACAGGACTTGAAAAGCTGAAGCATTTCCTTCAATCCAAAATGAAGACTCTGGAACAGAGTCTGGTATAACTTTAGGGGTAGAAGAAAAGTTCCCTATGGGATGGCAGAAAGAAAGAAAGGGGAAAAGGATTTAGGATCATCGATCATCACAGAATCATGGGAGAGCAGTAGAAATTACTACTGATTAGAACTGAGTCAAAGTTTTCCCTTCCTATATTAATGAGTTGAAAATCACCTTTTCTGAATTTTTCAGCTGTGAATTTAAGCTAAGATTGCACTATCTGCAAACAAGGCAACAAAAACTATTAATAACTTCTTTCCTCTTACAATTCCAACCTAAATATGTATTTAATAGAAGGTGCAGAAGACAGGGAGTAGGCAAGAATAAAACACTGTACTCGGCAGAGGCTTGAGGGACATCTGAATGATTGTGAACTGATTGAATTTGGCAGGTTCTGACACAGACACGCTGGTTCTCTGCCCGATTTCCTGGGCGGTGATCATCCTGAAGCCATTGATCCAGAATAGCCGGCCACTGTAGTACATCAGAGCATTCTGGGAAATTTCAGAAGTACTCCAGGCTGCAAACTCCGTGATGCTGATGTCCCCAGTGCTGCAGAAACACAACACCATGAGTGCTCGCATCTGTCACCGGGACCTGTGAGAATGCCTCAAGGTGTATGTGTCTGTGTGGAAACAGGAGTGAGGACATAAACAATGAGGAAATACTTTGCAATGATAATTGTCAACGCTTCTACTTCCATGTCAAATTTGTTTCTTTATATTTTTCTTAAAATATTAGACCTAAATCAAAGTTTCTAAGAATTTTTAAATCAAGGTGATATTGTACTAGTAAGATTGTTTACTCAGATTATAGTTTTAACTATACTTGTAACTTTAATACCATTCTACTTCAAAGTCACAACCTGAATCCTCACTACTTCATCCTCACAGAGACCACATCTTCGGTTTATTCCATATGCTCTTACAGAGCTTACACTAGTAGAAGAAAGACAGAGGCCAGGTACTTCCAGGAATTAGAAATAATAATTACCATGCACAAATGAAACCAGAAAAACCCATATGTAGAGTATAAATGTCCTGTCTTCACAAAAGTTTCAGAGAATGCTTATAGATGTGAAGCAAAAAAAGTTTCAAGATCAACAAGGAACAGTGTGATAGCCCAACACTGAAGGTAGAAGAGTCAGGATCCAGGTAGCACTGCAATGGGAACTCATATTATGTCCAGGGATTTGAAAAACAGAGGCACCTGGAGACCAAGATTTTGCAGGCATTTATCTACAACAGACAGGGACAAATTTTTCTAGATGTGATAGCTGCAAAAGCTGTGTTGTCCATAGCACAGTTCGTCATGAGCCCTGACACTGGCCTGGGAGAGCACCCTCCTCGTCAACCCAAAGACTTCACACAGTCAAGCACCCCTCACCTAGTCCAGTTCATAGAGCACCAAGAGGGTGAGTCTCTGTGCCCACATGATCCGCCCATTCCTGAGCAGGGTGGGCCTCACTGCAGTCCATGAGTCTCAGGTAGGGAATACCCGAGAAGCACAGAATTGCACAGAGCCCCCAGCTCAGCCAGTTGCTAAACATAGGACTTCAGACAGATAATTTAACCATCTACTAAATACGGATGTAACAATACCCCAAACTCTGCACATGGATAAACTTGGCCTCATTTAATTATAACTTTCTCAAAAAGTAAAAAGATGAATTTTAAGAATTCTATTACCCCTGCCACCCCTTTAGAAAAGGCAGACCCCACAGAGAAGTGGTGAGAGCCATTCAGAAGGCACAGTCCGTGACTGGTCTCTCCTCACTGAGCCTGCCCTGCCTGCCCTTCGTCAGTCGCCCTGTTGTCAGCTTTATTCCAGCCTGCCTGGTGCTTCATTTTACCTCCCCAGGACTATCCGTCTATGGCTACAACGATGTTTAGTAGCACCCACTGCTTCATCAAAATGCTCCTCTTCCAGACTAGAGAATTCAAATAAACAGGTTATTGCTCAAACTGCTTAGAGTTTCCTTTTTCACCATGAAAAGGAATTTTATAATGAATTTTACTTTAAAAATCTGTTCAGTTGTTTCAAAAATTACCCCAGTTGCCTCATACTCAATAAAAACTGTCTAGTGATACTCTGTGTTTTGGAGTGACTTGGTTGTTTCAAGTGATTTCCATAAATTTGTAGATATTGTGTTTGTATTCCTTTCTTTAGAAAAGCATAAGGTACGGTATTTTTAATCAAACTGAGTAAGTTTTGTTTTGTGAATTTCACCCAAAAAAAGTTTGAAAAAATGAAAACTATGCCAGAGCAGAGGATCTGGAAGTCCTGAGACTCATGGAATATACTAGCCTCACCAGGGTGGCTCCTGCAGTGCTGCATCTACTAAGTCACTGCCAGTCTATCCCTACTGGGCTATACAGCCTGCAGACTTCTATTCATATGTCCAATTTATGTTTTGCTATTTCAATAGCTCTGTGGAATTTTCCAGTTACTTTCTGAAACACAGAGAACCAAGCTGCAGATAGAAGAACGCTGGCCTTTCAGGACACATTGCCCTGCTGACACTGGCAGAACTGCTGCCGCTGCACACAGGAGGGCATTTGGTCAGCCACACTTGAGGCCTGGCTGGTTAGGGCTTCAGCATTCCTACAACTGTCCCCAGGACCAGGACCAGGACCAGGACAGAGGGTTTCCCTGCTGGGTGAGACTGAGGCCTCTTCATGTCCCGTGGTGTGAACTGTTCCTCAGTCCACTGGAAGACTTCTCCCTCAAATGAAAGTCTCCCAGATATCTGTGTTAACCCCCATACTTGTGATTTCCAGTGGTTTTTTTTCCTTACTTCAACACAGTCTTCTCATTTTCAGGAGGTCAGTACTCTAAACCCTTCAGTCCTCGACAAGAGGTAAGGCTAGACTTGAACAAAAATTTATCCAGAAAATCATCACATGGTGTGTGACCATAACCATTTCCATGAGGTATGAGGTGCACACAGAACTTAGTCAAGTGAGACGTGGTTTATTTGACACACATTGCATGTACAGTTCTACACTCATGATTAGGAACACAGTGCCACATAAGAGAGATGCAAACAGTGGCTTCATAGAGCATTCAGACCTGCTGAAAAGGCAGAGAATCAGCAAAGAACTACATTATTGAATGGACTCTAAGAGGAAAAGAAAAGTATATTTGACAGGAATAGAAAGCCTCCCCTAGGGAGCAATGTTTGAGTGCGGCCATGAGTGAAGCTCTGCCATGGAATGCGAGTTAACCAGGGAACCAGAGTGGGGGAACAGTTCAAGTGGAGGACACAGTGAGAATGTATGCCCCATTAAAGCAGTGTAATCTGTCCTTATGCAATGAAATATATGTGAATAGGTACACTTGTTTCAACTTCCAAGTCAGAAATGGCATACTGTTGATAGCTTTATTCTTTTATAAAGATGGTTATACAACAGTGAGGGAAGAGCATTTTGAATGGGGAAGTCAATTTCAATTCTCAGACACAGAACATGAGGAAGGACAGCAAACATTTTAGTCCCTTCCTGACTATCCCTCTAATTAACCATGACACAGGCAGCTAAATGAATACCTCTGACTTCAGTCTTTTTAACTATGAAATAAAATAATAGCTAGGTGGTCCCTCTAAATGCTGTGTTGTAATGAATTTATGTCTTATGTTTTAATTTCAGATCTGTAATTATTCTTGAAAGTAAAAACTATTGACTATTTAAGCTGACAATAATTTAAAACAGATTTTTACAGAAGTAAAATATACAATAAGAACACAAAGAGTAGGGCTAACAATATGGTCATGGAGACGGTGGGGTTCCACAAGCTGAAGTGACAAGTTCCAATCCAATCAAACTGAGTAGGTTGAAGTGGTAAACAAGACTTCTTGATAAATCCAAGAACACATCACTGGAAAACCCAAGTAAACAGTTCTATGCAAACAACAAATTCTCTTTGCTCTATTTGACCTTAATCCTCAGGTCACACACACACACACACACACACACACACACACGCACACACACACGGACCATGAAAAATAAGGCAGCAAAATGCCTCCAAAGACTCCTAACTCTCCTAAAGCAGATCCAAAGGGGCACCAATGGGAAGGAAATCAGACACCAGGTAGCTGTATGAAATGATTAAAGAGGAAGCAAAGAACCTAGAAAGCTCGAAGATGATATAAACCAAAAGGCAGTGAAACTATCAATCAAACTAGCCAGCGTAGTATGGGAAAAACAAAAAATGGGAAGAGCTGCCCAAAATGGTTCAAAACATGAATGACAAATTTACCAAAGAGATTGCATGTAACAGTGCCAAACAGAAATCCTGAGGATAAAGAATTCTATTAAATTCATAAACAGCATAATATGAAGACAGGATTTCAGAAATCAAGGACAAAATGGAATCATATGATGATATACTGAGAGAAACCTAAAAACAATAGGAGAGCAAGAAAAATTCATCCAACAGCGACTAGATGATGCTAAAGTAATAGCTTAAGGTTTATTGAAGCTAGAGAGAAATTAGAGGACAGCACACATGGAATATAAAATCTGTTTACAGAAATCATGGCAGAAAACTTTCCAAGTGTGGAGAAAGAATTCAACATACAGGTAAGTGAGGCTTACAGAACACCAACTAACATCAAAACAGAAAGCTCCCATGATATGTCATAGTCAAAATCCCAGAAGTCCAACACAAAAAAATCTTAAAATCTGTCAGAGAAAAGCTTCACTTTATTGACAAGCATAAAACCCATCCACATATCTCCTGGGTTCCTGAGTCAGGTTCTCCTCGGCATCTTCACTGCACCCGCTTCCCTCCTGTCACAGCACTTACCACATTCCACTGTCATCAGCTGTTTACAAACCTCTTTCCTCACAGTCATCACACCCAGGACAGTGTATCACTCATGAGTGTTTATCAAAAGAACAAATGAATCCCCATGCACTATAATTTATAACTGAGAAGCAAGTTACTCTCTTCTCAACCAAGTACTTCCGAGAGACATTTCTCACCTCTGTCCTCGCAGAACAGCTGTGTACAGGTGAATACATTGACTGTCCTGAACCAACCAGTATAGGAGCCCATCAGTGATATCTAATGTGAGAGCAATAACCTAAAAATAAAATAAAATAAGGACATGAGCCAAATGCATGTTTGCAGCATACCTTTGTGAGTAGGTCACACTTTACATATTTTTTTAACATCCTCTTTGGAACAATAAACTACACGATTTTTTACTTTTTGCTGAATATAAAAATGATGTGATTTTGCCTATCACCATGTTGTCTGAATATTGACAGTGGTTTCCTAAAGTTCTCTGAAATATAAGGAGTATCTGTAATCACTTCACATATTCAGTTCCTGCAGTTATCCAAGTATGATTCTTGGACCAGCAGCAGCAGCACCTAGAAACTTGGTCCAAATGCAGCATCTCTAGCACATTCCAACCTGCTTGATCTGAAGCTGAACCTATGCCCAACCCTTGCCTAAAACTAACTATAGCTTTGGACATTTTGACAACTTGATCCAACAAATTTTCTTACTGTTTAGACCAATTGTTCTCAGACATGACTGCCTATTAGAACCATCTGTGGAACTTGTTCATTAAGTCTTGGTTCCCTGGTGACACCCTGTGAAATTGTGATCCCTGGACATGAAGTCCAGGCTCCAATCTACTTCAGAACCACCGGAGAGATTCCAGAGTGCCACCATGTTTGAGAGCCAAAGGTTTATATCATTTTAAATTGTATTTGCTATTAATTACAACCAAAACACCCGGACTCATTTCACAGAGATAATAAACACAGGGCACCTATGTGTTAAACTTGGGTTCTTGTGTGTATATAAAGTACTGTTTCCAGATGATATTTGGAACCACTTCTTGCTACTCTGTCTCTTTGTTGCAGTCCATGTCTCAATTTTATGTCCTGTTGTCTAGTGAGACCTAAGGAAAGGTTGCTTCTCTTATGAAGTACGGTGTAGGAGATACAAGTTACTATCAAATGGATCTCTTTTTGCTTTCTTTGGCTTTACAGATATTTTTCAAATAAATTGAGATTAGTAGGAGCCTGGCCTCAGAATAATGCATCCCCTTTAGTACAGTTAGAAGCTGAGAGGTATCAGGAGGATTCAAGTAGGTGATTACATCTTTAGCAAGATAAGCAGCATTTAAATTAAAATGATAGGCCAGTAAAAGTGTAAAAAAGAAAAACTACAATATTGTAAAGTATTTAAGAACCAGCAATACTTTCTGACAGGTCATCTTGCTGCAAAGAAAGTCATGTGGCACTTGACTGTAAGAACCTGTTGATGTCTTAGAAACACAACCTCTGTTCACCTGAGTCCTTCCCAAGAAGGTAAAATCTATTCTAGTGATTCTAGGCCTTTCAAGAATTGAATCGTATCCTCACTTCATGCTAAAATGGACTTACTGATGTATTTTTCTCAGTGTACGTGAAATTGTTAATCTTGTTTGGTTGTTTACAATAAAACACACTGGAATCTTCTGAATTACAATTAACTCCAGCTCTCTAAACAAGAGGTCCTGTAAGTCCCCTTGCCAGGCTATAGCACGTGTTCGAACCATAAGTAAAATCCAGACGTTGGGTCCTTCCTACTCTTCTGCATCCCTCAGCACCCCACATCTAAACAGGCAAAAGCTGGGCTGTAAGTCTCTCATAACTGTTATCACATCTAACAGCATACACAACTTGGAAACAAACTGTTACACTTTGCTTAAAGCTGTCACACCAAAGTTTAATCCTGCGGTAAAATATACTCTGTGCTTTAAGTGGAACTCATCTGATGTGGCAACAAGCATTTTCTTATAAATCTCTTGCTTTATTCTCCATTTTCATCGCACACACATAATCATGTCTTTCTATGAGAAATGGCTGGCTGTGTTTCCTTCTGTCTGATGAATGGAAGTAGTTCATGGCTGAGGGATACATCTGTGAGTGACATAAAGGAGGGGCAGTGAGACTTAGAGATTTGCTGAGTCCAAAAGGTGTTGTTTAGAGACATCCACTTTTCAGAAAGTAGGTGCAAAACAAAATTCATGAAACCTCTCCACACACTGAAGAATCATTAGCTTTCTCTGCATATTTGAGGAAATACATCTTTCTTTCAACTCCCACTCCAGATCCCAGTCTAGCAAGTTGTTGCAGACTCTGTAACTGTGTTCTGGTGCATGGTTTGATGTCTGACACTCCACCAGTCAATCTTTGGATGTGGTGCATAAGTTTCAAATCTCTTAAATATGTTATGATCTGTATACACAAATCAGATCTCTTTAAATACAGTCTTCTAGGAATTATAGCCTATATATTCTGTGATACTGGTTTCCCATTACTCAACAGTAATTTCATATATACATAAATATTTTGACCAACGTGATATGTTTTTTCTTTAAAAGGAAAAGGGCTTTAAAATAATAAAAAAAAATTAAGGGACATGTTAGGTATAAATAGGGCAAGTGGTTTTTTCCATAATTTTTTTCTGTAATTTTTAAGTTTTCTGCAATAGCCTTATATTACTATTGTGATCTGACAAAAATAAGATTCAGAAATTTAGGTGGAAATCTAGGGAGTAGGTAAATAGGTGTTGTTTCTAGAAGTTAAGTAAGTAGAAGTAACATTTGTTTAGAAATCTTGCTGTATAGGGCATATTTTTAAGATTGAAAGACAATAACAAGAACTTTACATTAGGCATTTACCATATTACTGAAACAATTTACACCACCTCAAAAATTATCTCACTTAAATTATCTAACTTAATCTTCATCACAACCCTAGAAAGTAGAATATTATTACTAGCCCCATTTTTCAGATAAGAAAAAGAATAGAGAAGTAATTTGCCTCAGGAACACACAGTTGTTAGAATAGTCTGCACCCAAAATTGATTTAAAAACACCTAATCCCTACCTGATAAGGAGTTCTAAAAAATTCAATAAAAGTCATGAAGATTATAAAACGTTAAGAAATTAAAAAGTTGTCAAACATAGGTGCCTTTTAAGGTAGAGCAAACTATAAAAACTCTCTCTCATATGTAAATTTATATAATTAATTACAACCTCAAAAGGAGGCTTAGACATGTTGGCTCTACCAAGATCCTACTAGTCAGCATTTCTATGAGGATTCAACCTCAGCTATTCACAATAAACAGAGACAGTTACTGTACCATTGAACAGCACCACTTGATGTTAGTAAATGGTCAGATCTCATTTTAATTTTTCACCTTTTTCCCAGAAAACCAAGGCTGTGCTTGGAGGACAAGAGCACTTTCTCCATTCAGCCTGGTGCTCTCGACTGAGTAGAGTGTGGTCCAATAGAGATATCCACCCACGGAGTCCACCGCCATGTCGTTCACCAACAGCTTCACGTGTGTGACCATGTCAGAGTGTCCTGTCAGCACAGACTGCCTTTGGATCTAAGGACACAACAGCGTAGTCAGCTAACAGTTTTCAAATGACGTTGCTACTTCCGAATAGTTTATTGCAATCTTTAGTAAACTGTTCCATTCATTCATTCAACCACAGGTACTTATCAGTACTAAGCTAGGCAATGTGCCAAGCCTTGGAAACACAATGACAAATAAGCACACCACCTGCCTTCCTGGAATTTACCTCCTTTTATCTCTAAAGGGAAGGGGAAGTAAATTTATTTTCAATGAAAGCATTCGGTATTTCTAATTGTATCTCAAGAAAATCAAACACTCATGGATAAGAGTATTTGGTTGGCTTCCTAAAGGAGATCTATGTGCTCTTGAGGACCTCTCTCCTCGCTCCTGTCTCTCATCTGCTTCCCTCACAGGAATCATCATCCTCCCCAAGCACCTATGTTGTACCAGACAGTGTGCTATTTTATTTTAAGAGCACTGACTACTATAATCCTCACATTCAGCATATTGGGGATTTCTATTCCCTATTTTTTTTCCCCATAAGCAAACTGGGTTAAATGAAGATAAGCAATTTGTCCTACTTTTAACCTAAACCATTTTGGGAAGCATTCCCTAAGTAATGCCCTCAGCACCACCTTACCTGTCATTTACACCATGAATCAGGCTACATCGTGTGGCTTTGCCTCTAACTACATTGCTTTTTCTTATTATTATTATTTTTTTTTTTTTTTTTTTTGTACCAGGAATCAAACTCAAGACCTCATGCTTGCCGGGCAGGCCCTGTCTCCCTGGCCCTCTTGTTATTGCTTTATCTCATCAAAGCAGTGGGGAGGAATAGTGGTTGCACAACACTGAACGCAGTAAAACCCAGGTGACTTTTGTGGTATGTGAATTACATATTGACAAAGCTTTAAGAGCAGAGACAGAAAAGGAAGGGAAAGAAGGGGAAAGTTTGTATGTATGTATGTATGTATATACAGGATAGCTAGCATAGTTGTACTACTGTCTTCTATTGCTCTACAGAAAGGAACAGTTAATGATTATATTGTTTGATCAATATTGTTTGATCAGTATTGCATGTCTCTGTTTTCCTGAGAAACCACTTTGAAGATATCAATATGTGATACAACAACCATTGTTAATTTCCTACCACTTTGTCTGTAACTCTGTATTGTTTTTAATGTTCTTACGCTATTTTATAAATGGATGCCTGTTAATATGTTTTCCTTCTTTTATTTTTAAAATAAATTTTAAAAATAAATTTTAAAAAAAGAGCAGAGACATCTCTACTATGACTTTCCATCCTCTCCTCTACCTACTCTAAAGACTTGCCACACATGAGTAGTGGACAAATGATGCTCAAACAAATCAATAGATGGACAACAAGCACCCTCCTCATCAAAAAATGGTTTCAGCATCATGTTTTTCTGATGTCGCAGGCCAGGGTTCTTGTCCTCGGCCACCATCTTGTTCCTGGGTGCATCACCACATGGGTCTCCTGGACGCTCCCGTGCTGACTCAGATGTGGCCTTTCCCACCCAACTCTCTGCCCTCAGAGGTTGCATCGCCAGGCTCAATGGTCCTCTGGTTCCAGGGAGGTAAAGCCAAGGGAAGCACCAGCAGGAGAAAGAGGTCAGGGTGCTTATTTCCCTGGCTTGCTCCATGCCAGAGGATGCACTTTGTTAGCAGCTGGGTAGCTAAAGTCCCAGTTGCTGTCCTCAACTCTCCTATACTTCGGGCCGCTTCAAGTTTCACCTTCTCCCTTCCCTCCTCATCGGTGGGCTTCTGTTCTTCCAAACTTGTTAGACCAGGGTGTACTTTGCTGTCCCTTGCTCACTTTCCCTACCCCTGCCCACACCTTTGGAAGCAGCCTTTGAAATCTGTCATCTCCTGCCAGCACCCTCAAGTGCCATTTTAATGGATTTACTTTTAAGTGTTAATGAAAATATATAAGTAGTACACCCAGTAGCGATATAAAATTTCACTTAAATTCACATTAATGCACTTTAAAGGGAAGTCAGTTTAGAGACAAATACTCCCTAAGTGGTACAAAACTATGAGCACCAAGGATGCCAGACTTTCACTCACCACATAGGTCTTTCCAGCCCAGTAGAGAAAGCGACCCAACCACTCAAAAGTCAGAGCCCCTGCCCCTGCGATGCTGGGGATGCGATGGCTCTCGGAGACTCCCGACCCATTCAGCAGCCGCACGTGAACCTCTCCTCTAGTGTCGCTATAGTACAAGCTGTTGTTATACCAATCCATGTCTCCAGATAAAAAGAAAAGGTTATTACCAGTTATTTCTCATGTACACCAAGAACATGTAAGCACCTCAACATAGTTTTAAAGCTTGTACTGACATCAATATCCCCTAGAACTGCAGGGATTTGTCAAGCATATTTCAATAAAGTAAACTCAGAATCTTAAGCCCTAGAACTGTATAAAGAAATGCACCCTCAGGTTCTCCTCTTCATGAGACATTGTCCTGGGCACTTTGCACAACTAAGTTAACTTCTGAGACAAAGCTAGGAAGTAGGAATGAGACCATTTACAGCGTGGCAAGCCTGCGATCTGGTGAACTTACCTATTCTCAGGTCTCACAGGGGGAAAGAGGGAGCCCAGGGTCTGGCCAACTCCAAAGTGGCATTCATTCCACTAGCACCACCAGGCTCTCCACTCCCCATGCCCAGGCCCCACATCAGTCACAGTGGTGCTATACTTTTCATGGCGAAGCCAATCAATAAAATGATCAGCTAATTAGAGAAAATGTCATCATCAGGAAGATCACTGTTATCCTACCTAGGAGTGAAGACTTTTCCTTTTCTGGGCAACGTTACCTTTCATTACTTAATACTCAGAGTAAGTGACCTAAGAATAGCTGTCTTTGTGGAGTGAGAGGTGGCTACAGTGAGATGATACCAACAGACTAAACACATGAGCACTAATCAAGGCCTTCCTGCAGTGGGTATGAATCAGTAAAAAACTTCATATTTTGTGAAGTTATTAACAAATAGCATTCTTGGAGTGGGGATATAGCTCAGCGGCACAAGCGCCTGCCTAGCAAGTGCAAGGTCCTGAGTTCAGTTCCCAGTACCAAAAGAAAATAGTCTCCTGCAGATAGCATTCTTACTTAAGGACTGACATTTTCTTAAAGGTATCACTGGCAGTGTCATCTGCTCAGTATGTTTTCCTTTCACTATTAACCCAATAGCAAGCAAGTGATTCTTTCCATTTCTCAAATACCTCCAGAAGTCCCATGAGCAGAAAGCTGGTATGTTGTTGAACAAGGGCATTTACCTGACACATTTCCTATATCAGAGGATAAGAACTCTCCCGGGCCAAAGCTGTTCAGGGGTTTACTCCAAAGACCATCTTCTTTCACAGCCATAATAAATGGTGGCTCAGTAGCTGTTTGATTAAAATTTTTTTAAAAATAACATAGGAAGTATTTTTAGATACAAGTCCATTTAAAGTAGAAACACAAAGCTTATTATTAGCTAATAAGATAATATAAAAACATATTATCATATGTTATAAAATGATGTATAGTAACAAATAATAATCATAAATCCAGTATTCATTTCTATGATTGGAATGCACCCATGTGTGGGAAACGTAGTCTTCAGTGCAGCAGTTGTAAGGGGTCGGCCTTCCGAATATGACACCTGATGCCCTCTGCCATGCACGATGCAGAAAGAAGGCCTCACCAGGCACCAACCCCGTGCTCTCAGACTCCAGCCTCTAGAGCTGTGAGCCAGACTTCTGTTCTCCACATCAGCCAATGTGTGTTCAGTGACAGCAACAGAGGATGGACTAGGACCTCACTCAGAGCTGAAATACAAACTATGAGTTAAGCTCCTATGCATTATAATTTTGAGTGTGCTTGTTATAAAAAAATGTTCACTATTGTTTCATTTTCTTAAACCAAAATGTCCCAGGAAAAAACAGCTTATCCATCCATTGTTATGCTTCATCCAGAGAGGGGAGAAGGTGAATAACTTTTACTTTAGTAAACATCTCACAAAATTGAAGGAAATTATTCAGCTGGTGAATATGTCTAACAAAAGGACCCTCTTTCAAACTTCTGTAATATCTCACTAACAAATAGCTTTCCAAAGTGACTCATAACTCAAACCTGTTGCATTCTCTTCTATCTTAATTTGCTTGTGATACTTTCCATCTTCTTTTTCTTGGTCGTGGTATTTATTTATGTTTCCTGCTCTATCCATGCAGCCAGAAATTCTTCTCTGTGATAAATTTCTTTATAGTCTTGGCTGCCTCTCTGAACCTGCAGGAGCAGATCAGTCCCCTCCTGGTAACATCCCAGAGCCTGTTGGCACCAGGATTGGAGTTCAGTTCCCTGCACACTTCAGCAGGTGACTGTGGCTGTGCCCTCCGCATCCTGCCCCCAGCAGAATTTCACCATCAGTGCCCAGATATAAGGCTTACTTTTCAAGATTTCCTTTCTAAAGTAAAAGAATATCAGCATCTTGAAAAGTAGTGTAGAAGGATAGAAGCAATTGTACCTGGTTGATTGAATTACCCACATCACTCATACACTCTAATTTTTACACAAATCTGTGAGACTGAATGTGAAGAAGCATCTGCAGTGATACTGCAGTGTCGTGGTCATGGCAGACACTTTTCCCCCTGTGGCTACTGTTTGCCACGCTTCTGTTCAGAGTATCTAGAAGAAACTGTGATAGTGACAGTGGCATAAAGTATAAAGTCATCGTCCATTTCTTCCACCAAGAAGATGAGAGTCAAAATAATTCATAACCCCTCAACTCCCTCACCATAACTCAGAGTTCATGAATGCTGTGGCTTAACAAGGCCTGAGAAAGATGAGACCCAGGAAGAAGAAGGAAAGTATCCTCCTTCCTAAAATGTATTTCAGAACCTAAAATACTAAGTTAGAAAGACAAATACCACATTGATTTATTTGCTTTCCTAACAGCAGGTAAAATCACATCCCCAAGAGGTCATTACCTCTATTCTAATTTCTTCATCACAGTGGAGGCAAGGGATTTTAAAGGATGTTTTTGTCGAAATCATTTCCTAAAAACATAACATTTCTCACCTGGCACCAGGGTCGTACCCACTGAGGGCTCTGACCAGGGTCCTGGCCCCTTGGGAGAACTTGCTCTCACAGAAACTTTGTATTTCACAGCACTCTGCAGCCCAGGTATGTTAAGCATGACTCCGTGTATGTTAGAGAAAGTTTGAGTAAACTCTGGAAGGTCTTGGGTTGATACCTGTACCTCGTAAGTCCAATTCTGCCAGGCAGAAGGGCCTAAAGAGAAGAGTTCAACTATGTCATTGACTAGGATGACATTAGCAAGGGTGAACCAAAGATTGTCAACAAATCCATCACCAGCCTCCTCTCCAACGCCCACTGTTCAACTAGTCATCAGGATCACTGGGTGATCGGGCGAGGACCACGCTCATTTGTCCTGTGCTGCTCATTTTCCTCCATTGAGGGATACATTGTCACAACAAGAAGACTCCTTCCATCAAAGATTCATGGCTGATTGTCAGAGGGATGTCTGTGATACTGCTAGTTATAACCAGGTTCTTCATAAAAATGCTTAACGGAGAATCTCCAGTACATTTCCTGGGATTCACACAGGACCTTAAAGAAGCCCAACCAAAATGCAAGGAAAATGCCTATTCATCTTGCCATTGTTGAGATATGCAACAAACAGGCATAATTCACTTTGTCTTAAAATGAAAGTAGCCAGTGTTGACTAAATACTACTGCCCAGTGGACCAGGGCTGGAAAGCTACAGCATATGGGCCAAATCTGGCCACTGCCTATTTCTGTAGGTAAAGTTGTACTAAACACAGCATCAGTTGTTTATACATTGTCTGGGGCTGTTCCATGCTACAAAGCAGGGTTGACCAACTGTGACAAAGACCACCTTACTTACAAAGCTGGAGTTATTCACTGCCTAGCGTCTCCTTTACCAAGATGTTTGCTGATCTCAGTGCTATTACTGTTCTAACTGTTCTCCTCTTGCACCCTAATTTGATCTGCATGATAGTTCCACACAACGATATAATTAATACTCTCATTCACTACAGCGTGCAGAGGAAACCCAGGCAAAAAGTGGTTAAGTTAATTACCCAAGGTCATTCCCCTGTCACTAAGGTCACTTGTGTGGGGTAATTTTGCAGGCAAGATCAATACTAAATCCATGCCAGTTGGCTCCAGAACCCACCTGCTGACCCACTGCACATACTGCTTCTCTGAGACAGAGATTTAAATTCAGTTTTAAGAAGTTATTCAAATCATGTATGATCTCAACCCAAGTAGTCTGTCCCCCTCACTGATATACTCACTCTAACTAATATGTTAGATTTTAGCTCCTAGTAGAACCCCAATAAATTGTGAAACTATTCTGTTGGGAGATCCCCCTGAAAAACTAATAAATGAAAAGCAAGTGTAAAAATACTTCTTTTAAAGCTAAGTAGCTGCTTCTGGTTGATGACTGACTATATGTGGGCTCTCAAAACTGAATCCCAATTCCATGCAGTCCAAGCCCACCTCCTTCTAGCAGACCAGCACCCAACCCTGAGGACAGGGAACTCACTGGCTCCAATGGGGAGGGCAGGAGGCTTCCACTGAACAAGGGCCTGGTGAGACCCAAACAGCACAGAGATGTCCTTTGGGCGGTGTGGGACAGGGTATGGCTGGGTGGAGGAACCAAAGATGACCAAGTTACCAAACCCAAATTCTTCTATGTGACTCAGGTCACATCCCACAATAAACTCATTAAAAGACATGGAGTCCTGTTGGAAAATGGCCTTGCCATCTGTCACAAGGAAGTCATTATTTTCACAAGCAAAGCTCTGCACATCAGCAAAGGGGAACTGAGGGAGGACAGGACGGGAAGCAGAGCCATCTAGAAATGTTGACATGAAGACTTGGGTAGTGTCGTTGAAGTAAATGATCCGCTTAGACTGTGGTTTTATTGCAAAGTCCTTCAACGTGCAGCTCTCCACAATGTGCACAGGCTTGGCATCTCTGCCAGATGGCCTAGGGAGATCGACTTTGTAAATGCCATCTCTCAGGAGATAAAAGATGTACCTGATATGGAAGCAAAAGAAGCCTGGCATGATTCAGTGCAAGGGCAGATGAGTCATCTACTGGGCTAATTGCTTTAACCTATTGCACAACCAAAACCAGATATCTCTGGAGCCACACATTCTCCATGGTGCAAAAGGGTAAAGGTCATTACTAAAGATATGCTCTTTTTTAAGTCAGAAGTTGGAAGATTGGAAAGTTTCAGCCTTACTTGTAATGTTTAATCTCTATTATAGGTGGCTTTTTAAGGAACCACAGAATTTAAGAACAGAAGGAACCTAAAGATTTCAAAGCAAAGCATGTTATATAAAAATTGCATGGCTAAATATGTTATTTACTGTAAAGCACTTTCCTCTAAAACACACACATTTTGTAAGTCTAATTCCATCAACAAATTTTCTCATGCATTATGAATAAGTGGAAGAAAGAAAACATTTAAACTATCATTTTCTAAATACACTGTTACCATCTTGCTATAACTAGCATGACTACTTAGCATTTGGAGTGGTCTACGTGGTTTTAAAATACTTACAATTGAGTTGGGAAATTGTAAATATTTGATTTTAACTAGCCAAGAAGAAATATCCCACAAGTGACCAAAGCAGTTGTCCAAGACCACCCAGCAATCAGGAGAAAGGAGTCAATGGAAGAATTAAAAAAACTATACCCAATCTGAAGCAGAACCCCATGGTAATAAGGCAAGCAATCTCTTAATAATGAAAAAGAAAGCACACCACGAATATAGTTCCCTGATAATCAGATCTGGAAGTGGACTTTAAACTAAAATATAAAACCATTTGTAGGTACTTAATTTAGAATTTGTGGTCACACATGCAGATGCTAGCAAAAGCACACTTTTACTTGGTAAATTCCTGTTATGACAGCTCAGTGGCTTGGCAGCGTTCCATCCTCCATCACAACTGACAAGTCACTATCCTGACATTATTCAGCCCATCCTTATTCTTCCTGCTGGCCATTCCAAATCTTTATCCATATGCTCAACTCTCATGCTAAAGTTATATCCTGAAATACAAGCTGAATTTTGAGATACAAAGCTATATTCTTTTTCTTAGGGGAGAGTACAGCAAGAGGAAAAAAAAAAAAAAGCATGGTTCTTTCCAAATTCAAAACTGTTAATGGGATTTGGAAAAACTTCAGATAAAAAGAAATACATCTAGAGGAAAGATGCACAATTCTTGTATAAAGCAAGGGGTCATGCAGACCTTTAACCCTGATCACTACTTTGGAAGGGAAAGAGAAAGAGGAGAGAACTGGGGAGTGGGAGGAGGACGACAGTGGGGAGAAGAAGCAGCAAGCGGGAGAGACCAAGGACACAAGGAGAGGAGAGGGTGGAGGTGACAACAGGCAGAGGCTCAGTGAGAGAACCTTCCACTGTGCAGAAAGAGCAGCGCAATGCCAAGTACACCAGATGTCTTGCGAGAACACCTTAAAAAACTGCTGCCAAGAGTGATGTTCTGGTTTTTACAGAAATTCTCCTGTCCTAGCCCAGGAAAATGATTAGGAAACCAGCTCTGGTGCAAGGTGTCCAGTCCTGGTTCCACTACAAAACAGCTTCTTGGACAATTACTAAGTCAACCTGGGCTTCACTTCCCTCATACCTAATGACAGTAGCTTCCTCATGGGACTGAACAAGGATAGAATGAATTCTTGGAAGAAATACTCTTAGAAGCACATGAGGATAAACACATTAGTAGAAATACTAGTTATCACGATCATTTCTAGCCATATTTCAAAATCTAAGCACAAATTAATTTTATTGGCTCCTACTGGGAGAAAAAGCCACTGAATTTCTCATTAAGATATTTTTGAAGAATTAACTTAGTGGATACAGTTCATTATCCTCAGAATGAATCATTTTGTGTAACTGCCAATGGCAAGGTTACATTCCACAGGATCTTAGAGCTTTACAAATAAGTTCTAGAGCATCCAAAGCACTTGCCCTACAGGATTTTTTAAAATATTCCATAATTCAGTAATTTACTCAAACCTAAAGTAAAAATGAATCTAGCAAAATTTAAAAGCATATGAACAGAAAAGTTTGATTTTAAATCAATAATGAATAATCTTTTAAGAAAATTAGCTTAATTTTTAAATCACCTTATGTAAAATAAAATTTTATGAGCTATTTTTTTCATTCAAAATGAAAACAATTTTATTCCTATAGGGAAGAAAAAAATGTTTAATTTTACCCACATTGGTCTTGCTTATTGGTCTCTAACTTGTTATTATCTGAATATATTTTAAAACTTTTAGTCCCAAAATAACTTTCTATATTTTTGTCTCTCACATTCATGTACACTTGGAATTCACAAAATCTATTCACAGTGAATACCTTATTTAATCTCAAAATAACCCAAATGGATACTATCTTCTCTATATGGACAGATAAACAGTCATGAAGTTCCCTGTCCGAGATCCTACTGCAGTTTAGCACCACAGCTGAGCTCAAATGTGTCCATTTCTTTTGTGATAAGAGAGAAAATTGCCATGTTATTAAAAACTGCTCTAGTCGTTAACCATCAAATTCTGTTTCCTAAGGATGGAGGCCAGTAGCTTTCCTGACAAGAGAAGCACACCAGGGAGACGACTGCTCAGCAAATATGTGCATGCAATCCAGGGGTTTGTCACTAGGAGCTCTGAGGGGACAATGAAGTTCTGAGGGTGACAATGCCAGGCTAGAACTCAGGTCCCTCAGCCCCTGGCAAAAGTCTTTCCTGTATACCTATATTTTGCTGTAGAGGAGGATTCAATCAAATTTGAGTGAAATGTTCTTCTGATTCTTTGGAACAAAAAGTTTGCTTGGAAATATACCTGAATACACCTGAAGTAAGATGCATAGATCAGCTCATCTAGTGCTATAATTTCATTAGCAAGCAAAGTTCACCAAGATTTTCAGCAGTAGGAGAGAACTCATCCTCACAAGCCTGACACTTACCCATTGTAGGCATCAGCCACAAGTTTTTGAGGTGCGATAATGGAGGGCGGGGTAATTTCCTCAAAGTTTGAACAGTTCTCTAAGTCACAGACATATACCTAGAGAATCAAAAATATGTCAGGATTCATGTCTGTTAGTGTTCAATTCAGCCAGCAAGCATTTCCTAAGCATCTGTTCCACGCTTAGCATTGTGCTAAGCACTAAGCACTCTCAAAACAAAAAAATCCCTTAAAAGACACTTACATATCCTCTATCCTAGTGAGTTTATATCCTGTAGGCATCAATGAAATACAATCTCTATCTCCCAGTTTATGGAGGCACTCATCTATTTTTAGCATTTAAACTGTATCCAGGCTTATTGGCTTCCAGCTCTAATGACGGCCTTTGCTCATTGTGATGAGCTTCCACCTTCCAAAGAACTCAGTAGAAACCTACTAAATTTATCCCTGGTTAATGTATAATAATGTATAAGAGATGCTTCCTGCTGACTACAGTCACAATGGCCAGTTTACCTAATGACAGGACAGGTACCACCACTATATTATGGCCGATGAATTATGATTAATACAAGCTCATGACTCTGGAAAATCATGAATAACAATGACTTAATGGAAGGTCAGAACTATTACAAGGTAAAAGCTAGACTCCTGCTGACCAAAGCTATATTCATTGCTAACCTAGTGTCTAAAGTAAGTACATACTCATTGAGTAGATATTTAATAAGAGGATTATGTTGAGTGGTAAACATATCAAGATATGCACATCAGTCTCAATATTCAGTTATTCATTTCAAATTCTCAAACTAACCAGCTCATTCATGATGAAATACATTCTCTGGTAAAGCCAATCTGTGGAGATGGAAGAAATCAGACCTGAACCTCTGTAAAACACTCTCAGGTCAGACACATTAGACATATGAGCAACCTCCTTCATCCATATGACAGCTCCCTCGGAGAAATAAACAACTTGCCGGTGCACATCAGCTGATATACCTAGAAGAGCCACGCATTTAAATTATTATGTAGCAACAGGACAAGAAAAACTTTATGAAAAATAAATTTTAAAATATTTAATAAATATTAAAATAGAAGTCCTACTCTAAATTCTTCCTATATATATAGAATAATATTTTTAGAAGAATTTAAAATAGTATATTCTATAAATATCAGAAAGACAATTTTTTTGTTTGTGGCATTTTGTTTTTTGTTTGTTTTGGTGCTAAAGATTGGACCCCAGGCCTCATGCATGCTAAGCACATGCTATACTTGAGCTACACCTCCAGGTCCAAAAATACTTTTAATATTCCTGTAGTCTACAAGTATTTCTTCCAAAAATTCCATGTCTTTCTTTTCATACTGAGAAAATATTTCAGTTGTACTCACCTGTAATATTATGTTGTATACCATCTGACCAAAGACAATGTGCTTCCTCTACTAAGTGTTTTAGAGATCTCTTTCTTAGAGACGTTTTTCTGGATAAAAAGAGCCACTGTTCCTCTTCTTGAACTGAAAAACAGATTGTTTTTCAGACAGTATGCACACTAACATAGATCCCTACTTAAAATGAGAATGGTCAGATTTTCTCTGAAGACCCTGGGGCACCTCATGTGTGATATAACACACATTATTCCATAAGAGGGTGGGAGCAAAAAGTACAGTGGCCATCAAGCAAGACTCTGTGTGTGTGTGTGTGTGTGCTCCTATGTAGCCTTCCTCCAAGAGGACATCAATCAGCCCCAACCTTGAGACTCTGCTTGGTGGATATGGTCCAGCCCTGGCCAGAAGCTAGGCCCACACACATTGACAGACAATGGTGATCACTGTATTGTCTTCAACATCTCTCCATTTGAGGCAGAAGGTGTTCAGCTGGAGACCAAAGCAGGGTCACAGGTGATGGACACTTTGAGAGCAATGAATAACAGGCATGTGATAATCACATCACAGCCTGGCCCTTGCTCTGTATGTAACTTTCCCACTGGACACACCTTTTATATGACAAAAATGTTCTCCTTTCCCAGAGTGTAGGAAATTCCCCAAAAACCTAGAGGTTGGTGTTAGACAGAAGTGAATATCCACTGGCATAAGCTTGTGCAGGTAATGGGGGCAGAGTCAAGCCAACAAATGGAGTTCTGGTGAAAACAGAAAACAGGCTCCTAAAATTCTGAGTCCTGGAGTATTATTCAAAGCTCTTTTACAAGTTTCAAAAAAAAATGTCTAGTGCTTCTTTAAAAATCTTTTCATGTGTTATCTTGTTCACATATGCCTAATACATTTCTGTGTACACTCAAAGCAATGGCTAAAATACTAAAGTCTAAAAAGAGAGTACATGAGGGAAAGCAGAGAGGAAGGAAGGGAAAAGGAAAAAAAATATATATATATATATAGGTATACAAGATAGTTAAGATAGTTACACTGCTAATTCTTTTATTTCATTGAAAAGAAAGATTTGTGCTAAAATTGAGACAACATCTCATGGCTATATCTTGTACCCTGAGTAATTATTCTGAAGATAACAGTCCTCAATACAGTAATATCGTTACTCTCCTATTACCTTATTTTGAAATTCTGTTATTTTCTTCCTTTTAAAATAAAAAACAGAGTACTTACAAGATAATAACAAAAGATAATTTGACAGATTGAATATTCAAAATGGAAAGTGTAAATTTTAAAAATTCATCTGTACGTAAAAGCATGAAGGACACTAGGACAAAGATGTCTGATAGACAATATCTAATGTAAAATGCAGTTTAAGACAGAAAGGTTTTGTGTATCCCCAAATGTGTGAATGTAAGTCACAACCCTACAGATTAAAACTGACACTAAGAGTTTAAAGCCATTTTTTAAATCTTTAAATTTTTCTCTGTTTTTAAAATTGTAATGGAAAACTTTTAACCTAAACACTTCTATTTGTCAGGTACCTAGGTTCACTTTAAAATAAAAATGTATCCAGTACCCAAAAGACAACAACCATTTGGAGGAAAGAGGCAATATCTTGAGATCTACCAGGTGACCTGAACTCAGGTTCTGCACCAGTTCCTGCACTCAGATCCACTTTTGCTGCTTTTCATACCAGTGGAGCAAAGGAGCAAACTTTGCCTTCTTGTATGTCTGTCCAGGTTAGTGCCCTGTGCAACACCTTCTGAGCCCACACCCTCTCCAGCTTTCTGCCTGCTCCAGACTCTTTCCAGGCTTTTCCAATAGTATCTCCAGGTCCTGGGCTTCAGTAGTGTTTCAGGGCCCGTGAGAGGGAGGTGGCAAGCGTGCTGCACTCAATAGCCTTTGGTGGGTGTTGGGATGGATCCTGCACAGTTGCCGAGCTCTGCGGTGTCTAGCAGGAAGGTGGAAGGTGGGATCCCACATGGGAACAGAGCCTGTCATTTAGGGGGCAGTGGGAGAGTGACCACTGCGGTCCTGTTCCAATGTCTTTACTCTAGGTCATACCAGTCACACTTGCTGTGCACCCCTGCAACTCACCGTCTCACTGATCCCACAATGACTGGTTCCAGATGCCTAAGCAAGACTGTATCTTTGTTCCTTTCTCTCCCTAGAGCTCACCGATCCTAACTGTCTCCCACCTCTGTGGAATTAGCATGAAGAGAAGTGGCTAGAGATGGAGGAAGCCCCTTTTGATATCAATGGTAGACCAGATGCTTGACCAGTCCTGCTGTATCCCACTCCATATAATTGAAGGTGACAGAGATCAAAACCTCTGGCTCGTCATACCCACCAGAGAGCAGGTGAAACCTAGCAGAGTTCTGCTTGCACAGAGAATGAGAAGTAGGCTCAGTTGTCCGCCCAGACCCCCAGCCCCTTCCTTCACTGGTAGGCAAGAAAGCAAATTGCAGGAGGGAAACAGCTGAATAATCAGTCTCCTAACCACAACCACAGAGGGTGGGAGCTCAGCCCAACTGCTTCACAGCCAGATGTCTCCATTTTTTAACTAAGGGTGAAGAGCACAGTGGTGGAATTCAGATTGAAGTAGAAATAAGACTGAGAGCATTCTTTACTTTTATGTCTTTGTATGTGTGTGGAGTGTTTTTTCTTTTTCTCCTCTCATGTGTTTGTTTGCGCAAAATGGAGAATAAGAATTAGTGCTTTAGATAGTTCATTCACGGTTATGTCATGTATGACCTGTGTATGAAGAAGTTGTGGATAGTGGATTCCAACAAAAGCTTTCCATTAGCATAATAACTCGTTCTGGCCCTCTTACAACTTCCCCCAATATCCAGTTCCACTTCTTCATCTCTTCTTTTTCTCCATCTCTGCAAAAGTCTTCTCAAACCCCCTTTCCTTACTCCATCCATGGCATAAAAATATCACCAGAGTACTATGTCTTTTCTTTCTTTCATTTGCTATGATCTATTTTCTTCTTTTCTGCTTTCTGAACAATTTTCTTGGGGTATTTTTTTCCTTTCTCCTTCACTGATCTTTAACATCCCAGCATACTTGTCCTCAGTATTATGGCACTGTCTCCCTGTGGTACTCAAAAATCTGTGAATTTGTTAAAATAAGTTTTAAATTATATGATTCATATAGGATTAGCTCTATATATGCTGATATAACTGGTGGTTGTTCTTTCCTTACAAAGCAATGGCCACTGATAGATGGATCCTATTATGTTGAGTTAGTTGAACTGGTGCATAATCACCAGAACATAACCAAAGCCAAGGTCACATCACAGGGAAAAATACACTAACTAAAGGAATCTTCACAGTGGTGAGTTTTCTGCCCTCATTGATCTTCAACCCTCAGCACAAAAACGAGAGAAATATGGTAAACAAGGCAACAAAATGCCTCCAAATGCTCTTGGTTTCAAAAAGCTGGCCTCATGAACACTGAAATAGAGTGAGTTTTTTTTACGAAGAACTCAAAAACCAAATGATTAAAATGTTTGAAGAAATCAAAGAAGAAACTAATAAGCAAATTTATAAGATACTCAGTGATCTTAAGGAGGATACACAGATAAAAGATCTCATTAATAAAATATTTAACAAGCTTAAAGAAGAAACAAACAAAACTTGATTGAAATGAAGAAGACAGTGCAAGATATGAATGATCAATTTAGTAAATAATTGCAGATTATGAAAAGGAATCAAGCAGAAATCCTGATATGAAAAAATCAATTGAACATGTGGGCAACAGGAATGACCAGTCTGAGGGGAAACATCAGAACCTGAACAAGATTGATGCAGTAGATCATACACTCAGTGAAACCTTGAAAACCAGGCATGATGAGAGCCAGATCTAACATCTGCTAGAGGACTCAAAAAACAATCTGAGAATTGAGGAAAAGTTAGATGACACCAAAAATTTTTTAAAATTATCCACTGATATCATAGTAGAAAATTTTCCAAACCTAGGAAAAGAAATGAAAAGCCATACACATAAGGCATATAAAACTCCACATAGCTACAACCAGAAAAGAACCTCTCCACAACACATCATAGTCAAAATTCCAGGAATTTAGCACAGACAGAATATTAAAAGCTATTGTAGAAAAACATCAAGTAATCTATGAAGTCAAGCCTATCAGAATAATAGCATATTTCTCAAAACAATTTAAAGGCTAAGAGAGCTTGGAACAAAGTTTTCAAACCCTAAAGGAAAAAAATTCCCAAATTATTATACCCTGCAATATTACCTTTCAAAACTGATAAAGAAATAAAGACTCCACAACAAAAAGAACTTAAAGAAGTTTATTGCTGCCAAACCAGCAATACAGAAAGCACCTAAAGGATCCTAGGAACAGTTAGGCTAACATCACTAAAGAGCCCAGATGAAAGAATATATCTAATTGATACACTAATTAAACAAAAAGAATAAAAAAGAAATCATTCCTGAAAAACTAATGCAATGACAGAAATCAGTATATACCTTTCAATAACAACACCCAGTGTCCATGGTCTTAACTCACCAATCAAAAGACACACATTGGCAGACTGGTTCCAAAACCAAAACCCAAACCCCACCATATACTGGTGGGAAGAGACACACCTCATCTACAAAGGAGCATATAAGCTAAAATTAAAATGATGGAAAATGATATTCCATGCAACTAGAGCTTGAAAGTAACCAGGAGAAACTGTTCTATTTTCAGAAACAGTGAACTTCAAACCAAATTTCATAAAACAAAACTACTGAACATAAAAGGACAAAGAGACACAAATAAAATCCTAACAAGAGACTTCCATACCCTACTCTCACAAATAGGTCAACCAGACAAAAAGATCAACAAAGAAACATCCGAGTTGAACTACACCATTGGACAAACTGACTTAAACATATTTACAGACTGTTTCATCCAACAACAAAATACATGTTTTTCTCAGCAACACAGAGAACTTTCTCCAAATAGACTGTATCTTAGGCCATAAAGCAAGCTTAAATAAATACAAAACAACTGAAATAATCTATTGCATACTACCAGATCATAGAGGAATGAAACTAGAAATCAACAACAAAAGAAACCACAGAAACAATGCAAATACATGGAGATTAAATAATATACTCTTGAATATCAGTATGTCAGAGAAGAAATTAAAAAGTTCCTTGAATCAAATAATAATAGAAGCACAACATGCCAAAACCCATGGGACATAATGAAAGCAGTTTTAAGAGGAAGTTACAGCTGTAAATACCTATATTTAAAAAAAACAGAGCAATCATAACCTAATGATGCATCACAAGGTACCAGAAAAAAAAGAGCAACCCAAGTTAAAAACTGGTAGAAATTAATAAAATTGAGACTAAGAAAATAATATAAAGGATCAATTAATCAAAGAGTTGATTCTTTGAAAGAATGAACAAGATTGACAAACTCTTGGCAAAATTTACACAAAGGGAAGAAAAGACTCATACCAATGCAATTAGAAATGCAAAGGTAAAATCACAATAGGTACTGCCAAAATTCAAAGGATTCTAAGAAACTGTCTTAAAATTTCTATTTTGACAAGTTGGAGAATTTAGAAGAAATTGATAAATTCCTAGACACATATGGATAACCAAAACTAAACCAAAAAATATAAAAACTCTGAACAGACAATGAAACAGTAGTAATAAAAACCCTACCAACTAATAAAAGCCCAGGACCTGGGAGATTCACCACTGAATTTTACCAGAACTTCAGGAATGAACTAACACCAATACTCTTCAAACTTTTCCATGAAAGTGAAAAGAAAGGAGCACTGCCAAGCTAGCATTACCCTGATACCAAAACTGGACAAGAATTCACAAAAAAAGAAAACTACAGGCCAATTTCCTTAATGAAAATAAATCCAAAAATCCTTAATAAGTACCTGCAAATAGAATATAACAAATCATTAAAAACATTATATATCAGACCAAATTGCCTTCATCCCAAGGATGCTAGGATGATTCTATTACATAAATCAATATATTACACCACATAAACAGAAGTAAAGATAAAAATCACATAATCATCTCAACAGAAGCAGAAAAAGTCTTTAACAAAACCAAACATCAATTTCCTGATGAAAGTCCTGAAGAAAATAGGTATATTTCTTCTTATCTCAACCAAATGAAAGCCATTTCTGACAAACCCACTGTCAAGAGCATACCAAATGTGGAAAAGCTAAAAGAATTCCCTCTAAAATCCAGAACAAAACAAGGGTGCCCAATCTCATCACTCTTGTTCAAGATGGCACTTTAAACTTGAGTCAGAGAAATCAGGAAAGAGAAAGAACTAAAAGAGACATGAAGGGGAATAAAAGAAGTTAAACCATTGATATAATCCTTTATATATGAGACCTCCCAAAAAACACCAGAAATCTCTTATAACTAATAAGCAAATTGAGAAAAGTAGCAAATTAAACAAAAATCAATAGCATTCCTGTACACTAATAACAGATCCACTGACAAATTGGGAAAACAAGCTCATTCATAGCAGCTTCAGAACAATTAAATACCTAGGAATTAACCTAACCAAGGAAGTAAAAGACTTCTGTTACAAAATTTTTAGTACTCTGAGGGAAAAAAAAGAGATTGAAGAAGACCTTAGAATATGGAAATACATCTCTTATTTCTGGTTAGGTAAATCTTGTCAAAATGGCTTTACTACCAAAAGTAATACACATACAGACTTAATGCAATTCCAATCAAAATACCAACAGCATTTTCCAGAGCTAGAAAAAACAACCCTAAAATGTACATGAAATCAGAAGAGATCCAAATAGCCCAAAGCAAGCCCAAGAACAAAGCAGAGGCTATTACAATCCTGGATTTCAAGTTATACTACAAAGTACAGCAGTAAAAACAGCATGGTACTGGCACAAAAATAAACATGTGCAATGGAACAGAACTGAAAATACAAAAACAACCCTATGTACTTTTAGTCATCTTATTTTTGACAAAGGGACTGAAAAACATACCCTCAAGAAAAGATAGCCTCTTTAACAAGTGGTGCTGGGAAAACTGGCTATTTCTATAAAGAACAATGACTCATCCGTATCTCTCACTATACTAAAATCAAAATAAAATGGATCAAAGACTTAGCCATAAAAGCAGAAATACTGAATCTACTAAAGGATAAAATATGTACAACTCTTGAAGGTGTAAGTATAAGCAAGAAGTTTCTGACTATAACCCCAATTGCACAAGATGTACAATTATACCAAGAATCAACAAATATGATTATATCAAGTTAAAAAGCTCCTTCACAGCAAAGAAAACAACCAACAGAGAGAAAAGACAACCTACAGATGAGAAAAGTTTTGCCAGCTATTCCTCAGACAGAAAACTAATATCTAGAATACATAAGAACTCAAAGAGTAAATCCAAGAAACAAAAGACCCAATCAAAAATGGATAATTGAAACGAACAGACATTTCTCAAAAAAGATGTATAAATAGCCTAGATGTCCCTGAACAATGTTTAGCACCTTTAGCCATCAGAGAAATGCAAATTAAAATAGCACTGAGATTCTATCTTACTCTAGTAGAATGTTTATCATCAAGGACTCAAAAAAACAAAAAAATGCTAGTGAAGGTGTTAGGGAATAAGAAAAGGTTCACATTCCCTAACACCTTCACTAGCATTTTTTTGTTTTTTTGAGTCCTTGATGATAAACATTCTACTAGAGTAAGATAGAATCTCAGTGCTATTTTAATTTGCATTTCTCTGATGGCTAAACAGTGTTGGATTACTGGATTACATTCACAGAATGTAATCTAGTAAAACCACTATGCAAATCAGTACAAATATTCCTCAAAAAACTAAAAATATAAATTCCATTTGACCCAACTATTCCTTTCCTGCATGTCTTCCTGAAAGAGTTAAGGTCGTCATATACACTGACACACTCATCCCCGTGTTTACAGCAGCACAACTCATGATAGCTAAGTTATGGAAGTGCCTGTATGCCCACCAACAAATGAACCGATAAAGACAAGGTGGTATTTCTACATCATGGAACATTCTCTGCTATAAAGAGGGATATATTTGAGTCATTTGTACAAATATAGATTGATTTTAGACCACAATGTTAATTTAAATAAATTAGACATGGAAAGATAAATATCCCATACTTTATCTTATATAAAAAACCCAAAATTTGAATAATTTAAAAAGCAAAATAAAAGAGAGATGGTAGGAAAGAGGGAGGTAGACTGAGAGATAGGAAGGAGATAAGGAAATGAGGAGAGGAGTTGGCAAAGGAGAAGGGAAAGTAAACATGACCAAGATTTGATATATGTATCCCCCAAATAAATGTAATTGTTATGCACTGCAGACATATACCAACATTAAACAGAAGAGCAGCCTGGGCCATACCTGCCAGGGACAAGGTGGTAATGCTAGATTCTGCTTCTGGCCCCTCACCAACTTCATTTACTGCTGCAACAAAAAACCTATTCCAAAAACAATTTAGAGAAAAGTGTTTCACATGGCATGGTGTGAGCATGAGGTAAAAATAGAAGAGCAGTAAGGTTTCTGTTTAAAGGACGATGTGGCAACACATATATCTCATTACTTAGTGCCACTAGACAGCACTAACATGACCGTCAATCACATCCTTGTTTACATTCCCCATGCAACAGTTCAGGGTCACTGAGGTCAGCACCCAAACTCCGCTATCACCGTGACTCCCAGTCCTCCCCTAATTTAAAGAGGTTGGATGAACTCTAGACAGCTAACAATAAAAAAAAATCCCAATGGTTAATAAAAATGCTATTGACAGAGTTTAACCTCCTAATCTTTTTCATGTTGGATCAAGTGAGAAACAATATTCCTGGTGATTATGGTGTCTTTATTGGCTCTTATTTATTAAGGATCCACTGAGTAAAACAACACTTGAAGACATCTTGTATTACTTAACTTTTACATGCATAGAAAAGAGAAAAACCAGTTCCAACCCAATACCACAGAGTCAGTGAAAAGTCTTAAAAGACATTTAAACTATTTAAGTGATATTTAAAAATATTTTTAATCATCATGTCTGCAGCCATGCTGGCTAAATGTTCCTCTGCACCATTTAATTCTTACCTGTAGGTGGTATTTGGAAGAGTAGAATAAAACTGGAAACTGGTTCTCTGTGTCCCTGAATCAAATTTATTATTTTTGCTGATCAGCCTTAAATTATAACCCAAAATAGGTCCACCTGGGAACTGGGGTGGAGTCCAACTGACTTCCACAGTGTCAGGGCCAGAGCTCTCGATATTCTTAATAAAAGGCGCAGTTTCAGGAACTAGAAGAGATAATGAGGACATGGTGAGCATAAAAATGAACAGCTTTTATGTTTTAAAAATAGGATATATGAATGGAAGATTGTTCAAACCATTAAAGAAAATAAGGAGATAATTATTAGATAAAACATTACAGATAATACAGAGTTTCACTAGACAAGATACTTATTTTCTTATTCTCTTTAATGGTTTGAACAACCTTCCATTCTTACATCTGGTAATCTGGGCAACATAGTTGAGGGTAGCAATATGCAATGTAACAACCACTGTTAATTCATATGATTGTGCCTTGAAACCCTGTATCACTTTAAATATTCTTGCTTTGGTTTGTTTATGTTTGTGATGCTGTTTTGCTGCTCTTGTTCTTTTTGTTGTTGTTGCTTGTTTCTCATTTACCACTCTCTTTAAAATAAAATTTTTAAAAATATAAAAATAAAAATAGTATAGGAAAAATCTTGATTTTTAAAAAATTAATGACAGAATATTTGATTAACAACCAAAAATGTGACAAGAGATAATAAGAATCTCTGAGCTGTAATTTTTGATTCTTAAATTATACCAGTTAAGTGCTAAGATTTTCCAAAAACTCTTGCAAATGCTATTTTGCTCACTTCTAATTTAAGAATAAAATTAATTTTGAAATATATAAAAAGGTTAAATATTCCTGAAAAGGAAAGAAGAGTTCTCAAAATTCCTAGAGACCTAAATGAACTGAATTGAAAGAGGGAGCCAGACTGGGAAAGAGAAGAGAACCAGACAAGCTAGGTGAGCGATCAACAGGAGCCCAGGAAAGAAGCCAGTCTGGCCCGCCGCTCATGCACTGCGGCCTGACGGTCCCCACTGAGGGTGCGGCTGCAGAGAAGCTGAAGTTACAGTGGTCTGCTCCGCTCTGTGGTCATCAGCTCTGATGACCCAGGCTCCACCTTCCCACCCCCTGAGTGGGCGTCAGCAGCCCCTGACAACCCTGGCAAAGGACAAAGGAGCTGAGTTAAGGAAGCGCACTGACTTCCAAACCCCAGACAAGGAAATGATATGGCCGCCTCTCTTCCACCACGTGTCCACCCCACCTTCATGCCTCAGCTCCCTGAGCCACACGCTCTGAGAGCACTTGGGTCTTCCTCCTTAGCGCTGGAAAACGCTCTGCATCTCCACTGACTCGCTGCAGCTAGGTGAAGTGACAGCTCAGCTTCACCCGATGTCTGAAAGGCCTCCTCATGAGACTCTCAGCCTTTCTCTAGGAAAACCTATCCCAAACTCCCAGACTAATCCTTGGCAAACACACATCTGTGTGTCATTCCTTCATTCCATGTATTCTGTTACCTTCATGAACAGCAAAGGAAGAATGACCTGCATTTCCACTAGAAGGATGATGCTAAAATGTAACTCTAGAGTAGAGTCAGCATGCTCTGCTCTACTCCAAGAAAGCTAAATGCCACCTGCATGGGAAGATGTATTTATTGTCCAAATGTCTCCAACAACAACAAAAACATCTTTCCCAAAAGGCTGGTATTCTTTGCCTAGCAACCATTACTCTTGGTTAAGAAATGATCTTCTGAAAGCCATCATCATCTGGAACCATAACTATGAGAGAATAGCCCTATAATGCAATAAATACACAGCAGATAAGTTTCTAGATGTGGCTACATAAGGAAGAGAGAATCTGGAACGTGAAAGCCTATCCATGGAAAGGATGTGGGTGTGCATATCTAGCAGAGAGGACCAGAAACGGAAAGCAAGATTGTCTTCTTCATGACTTTGATTTGACCAGCCATAGGCCCACAGCATTTCATTATCATTACAAAATGTTCCAGCACTGTTGGAGTATACGAGGCATTGCTTGAAACAAGCAAGGATACGTGTATTTTACTTGAGCCTGGAACATTTTAAACATGGCCCTGAGCTAGTATCTGGCCTAGGTTCTGAGCTTAGGTAATCAAAGAATAATCTGCAAAAGGGATCACATAAACCCTAAGACCTAAATAAGCAAGGAAAGCATACTCAGGGAAAAGGGGAAATTTCCCGACGAATTTCATCAGGATCAAAGACCATATTCAGTCCAAGGTTGTCTGGATACGCCCACCTCTCCAGGATGAGAGACAGGGTACCCAGCCAGCCTGCAGTCATCTGTTCGGATGCCCTGGCTGACTCTGATGGTGGAGACAGACAGCCGTGCCCTGCGTGTGCGCACCGCACCTCACTTCCTGCGGGGCTTCTAGGTTTGAGTCCTGTCCATGGTGAAGCTGTCACCCCTTCCAAACAGGAGATCTTGAAATTCCCCAGTACATGTACTGTTTTTTAAACTTGTCTCTGACAAAATGCCAAAATATTATAATAGTCTCCCAGGTGGCCTCTGCTTCTGCACTTTCCAAACCCTCTCACTCCTTCCACTGATGCTATGTGTGGTTGCCATGCCTCTCGCTTAAAGACATGGAAAGCACTTACTCCTCTGCTTTTTTTTTTATTTTAAAGAGAAAAGAACAAAAATAAATCACAAAAATTATAAAAATGATACAGAATTTCAAAACAAGATGATAGGAAATCAACAATGGTTGTTGTATTACTTACTGTTATCTTCAAAGTACTTGCTCAGGTTACCAGATATAGGTATGCAAGACTGATCAAACAATTAAACATTAATTGTTCCTTTCAAGAAACCAATAGAAATTAGTAGTACAATTATCTTAGCTATCGTGTGTGTGTGTGTGTATGTATGTATATATTTCCCTTCCTTCTCTCTTTCTTTTTTTCTTTCCCTCATCCCAGTTGTTCTTTTCTATTAAGCAGTTTCTTTCCCTTTCCAATATCTATTGTACATTTCAGTTTTATTCAATCTTTCTGGTTCTTACACTAGGGAGAGAATATGGTGTTTACACAGGTAGGTCTGATTTATTTCACTTATGAGTATGGTCTCTAGTTGCATCCATTTACCCACAAAAGCCTCAAGTTTATCTTTCTTTATAGCTGAGTAGTATTCCATTGTATAAAAATACCACATTTTTTTATCCACTCCTCAGTTGATGTTTTAAAGCTTTCCAGAGTTCCTAACTGCTCTCTAAACAAAGTCCAAACTCCACAGCCTGACATTCAAAGTTCCCAGTAGTCAACCTCCGGGCCCAGTCTCCTTTCCAGCAGCATCCCTGCTATTTCTCTTCCTGTATCTCATGCTTCCAGTGCATGGAACCCCACTCCTCCCCTCCATGCCTCAGAATGCAATCCTTACAACTTGCTCCTGTGGTCACCGAGACCTGCCCTTTCCTCACCTTTCGGCCACATGAACAGTGAAATTCCCTCCCACGAGATTTCTTTGATGTTATACTGTAGAAATAATATCTCCCTTCTCTGAACTTTTTTTTTTTTGTACCGGGAATTGAACTCAGGACCTTGTGCTTGCTAGCCAGGCGCTTATGTCACTGAGCTATATCCCCGGCCCTCCCTTCTCTGAACTTACCCAGGAATTTGCCAGTGCCTTTGCTTACAATGCTTGTAATTAAGTAATGTCTTATTGCAGGGTTTTGGATCCATCAGTGCACCTATGGGTACCACTTGAGTCTATGTTGAATGTGAAAACACTTATTTAGGCTGAGTATTTCTGTAAGGATATAGTAGAACTCAGAAGAGAGAAGCTCAGTGAAAGCTGCATTCTGATAGAGCCACATTCTGCATAAAGGTTGGGGAACAGGTACAGCTGGAATCTGTTAGGAAAGAAGTCTTTCCTTACTTTCCAACAATAAAACAATTGTGTTTTAGCCAATCCCCCTCATTTCTGAAGCAGTTTCATCACGTGGCTTTAAGACACAAGCTTCAAGAGTTTGATCCTTCTTGGTGCTCACTGTTATCTCCTCTTTTCTTGCCACCAAATCCTGGGATGTCCTAGGGCTACGTTGACCCTCTCCTTTTCCAATCTGCACCCTGCCCACCACCTCCAGGCCTGGGATCTGAGATCTCACCTCTATGTCTTTAACTCTTACACTGGCATCCTGGATGTCTCCAGCTACCCCCTGAGCTCCAAATATATACATTCAACTGTATCCCTGACAACTCCATTTGGGTGTTTGATTTGAATCTCAAATTTTACTTGGACAAAACAGACTTTTTTATTTATCCTAGTAAAGCAACCCTCCCCCAAGTCTTCCCAGGTCTCAGTAAATGGCCACCCACAGGTGTTCAGCCTGGAAATCGAAGTTACCAAGTTTGCTCCCCCTTCCTCCTCTCCAAATCTACTCTGTAACCCCATCAGCAAATTTTTCTACCACTACCCCTATGACCACCGCAGTCAGAGCCACCACCATGATTTGGTGTGAGTGTCAATGGGCCAGCAACTATGGAATCAATATTGAGGTTCCTCAAAAAACTAAAACTGGAAATTCCATCCCACCCAGCTATTCCCCTTCTAGATATCTTCCCAAAAGAGTTGAAATCACCACATTATAGTGATACATGCACACCTATGTCAATAGGAGCACAGTCAAAACAGCTAAATCTTGGAAGCAACCTGTAGATCCACCAGCTGCTCCCCAGCTTCCCTTGGCCACCCACTTCCACCACTCTCAGTCCATTCTCCAGAATACAACAGCCAGAACACAACTGTTAAAACTTGGATCCATCTTCCCTGCTTAAAACTCACCAGAAACTTACTGCCCCTTGGAACAAAATCCGCACTCCCAGAGTGTGTGGCCCCAGGTGAGCAGGCCTCTGGCCGGCTGCTGCTCTCATATCTCCTGCTCTCAGCTGCTCTCTCTGCCTTCCAGCCACACTGGCTGCTCCTCCAGGATCCCCAGCTCTTTGCTGCTGCAGGTCCTTCCTGCTCTTCCTTCTCCCTGGAAAACTCATTTCCAGACACTTGTGTGGCTTTTATCTTGCGTCATTCACAGGTCTGTGTGAATATCCTCTCAGAGGCCCTTCCTGAAGTGGTCACGCTTGGGCATTCTGTATCACTTGTGCACTTAGCACTTCTCTGTGAATTACACTGTCCTGTTCAATGAACCACTTCCTTCTCTGTGCCATAGCTACCCAGGAATCTGTGTAAGTGCTCCTGTCTTTCTCCCTGTGCCAGGGCAGCAGCAACTATACCGTGACTGTCCATCAGGTGGAGGTAATACTTCAGAAGTCCTCATCTTTCCCTCCTGGGGAAAACCAGCAGGAAGCAGCAGGGTCCATCTGCAGACCCTGCCTTCCCTGCAGTGGGTTGTTAGACAGTCTGAGCCCGGCAGCAGGGATTGGCAAGCTCCTCCCACTCTCATTCATGCTGAGTCACATCACCCAACTCAGTCTGTATCAAAAGGAGCAGCAATACTGCGGTAGCCATCTGCAGATCCTTATGTTTTACCTTCCATTGGCTAGAACCCAGACTGGGAAGAAAGATGCTATTTACAGGGTCCTCCCACCATGCCAACAAATACCTTTGCTTAGTTACTTGTCTACCTGTGTCCCCAGCTGGAATATAAGCCCCCTGAGTGTTAAAACCTTATCACTATTGGTCCCTGGAACAATGTCTGCTACATAATACGTGCTTAAAGACTACTTGGGGAGTGAATGGGGAAAAAATGCTGACCTTCTCTTTGATAGTATTAAAAACAGTACAAAAATAAACATCTTTGCAGAAAACAAGAAAGGAGTTGGGTCCCTTCACAAATTTCACTAGTACACAGCCAAAGAAGTTCAAAATCTAGGTGACAAAATACTAAAACTTGTCTCAAGAAACAGATAAAGAACCCACACTCTTCTTGCCACACTGCTGTCTCTCCTCAACCCTCCTCTGCCCACACCTACCCCAGCCACAGCCTGCAATTCGTCCACACCACAGCCAGTGGGATCCTTGCAACATGCAAGGTCAGTTGCATCAGACTGAGGCGGAACAGAAGAAATAAAGACAGGTAGAAACAAGAATAATGCAAGACATTTAAGAAAGAGTGCAGCTTTGGGACACATAGTTACCTGTGGTTACAGTGCATTTTTCTTTTCTAGGAAACTCACACACCCAGTCCCCTACATTCCTAAGGGTCTTAAAGATACAATAATAATGCTGTAAGTTGGCCCATGCTTTCCTGTCTGAACTGGGCCTGCTTCTGCCCACAGACCTCTGTCCTCAAGGAAGCTGCACTAGGAAGTCACAGCACTCTCTAAACTTCAAGCACACAAAATGGTTTACACTCTGACTTAGCCCATCAAATAGGCGGCCCCACAGACCTATTGGATACAGTCCTAGGTTGTCCACCTTACACTACCAGGACCACATAAAACTGCAGCCCCAGCTGGGTGTGGTGGCACACGCCTGTAATCCCAGCACTTGGGAGGCTGAGGTAGGAGGATCGTTGTGAGTTCGAGACCAGCCCGGGGTTCAAAGTGAGCTCAAGGCCAGCCTGAACCGCATCACTAGACCCTGTCTCAGAAAAGACAAAAAAAAAAAAAAAAAAACCTGCAGCCTCTGACTGCAATGCAGCTCATTCTACATACACACACACACACACACACACACACACACACACACACGCACACACGCACACACCCCTGAGACCTGGACCTCTTTCTGCCTAACAGACCTCCCAATGCCTCACTGACATATCCAGAAATGCTTTTCTGTGATGGAAACCAGTGAACCTACAACCTATTTGGTGGGTGGGTGAATGAGTTGAGGTTCCCGTCTCCTCCTGGGTGAGCTCCCTTGAACCCCATCCAATGACAGAATCATGTCACTCCTCTGCTCAAGCCCCGTAGCAACTCTCCTTCCACAGTCCACAAAGGCCTCTGAGGTCAACTGTGACCTGCCCTTCTACCTTCCTGTCACCTGTCTCCCCGCTTCTCTGGTCCAGGCCAGGCAGGGACGCTCTAGCTCTGGGGCTCTGCATGGGCCACCCCCAACACCACTTCTCAGAGCTGTTTGGCAGACTTCCTCAAGTCCTGCAAATCTCACTCCAACTTCACCCTCCCTCTCTGCAGGCTTCTTCAAATCACATCAGCTCTCCCTCCCCACTCCCACTTCTGATCCCCTAAAGCATTAACTCTGCTCAAAATGTAACAAACTCTTTCCTTGTCGTTTATCACACAGAACATATTTCTCACCAAAGCATGAGCTCCCCAAGAGCAGGGGTCACTGTTTTGTATTGTGAACATTACTGGACATATAATTAGGTACATGATTATTGAATACATCAATTAAAACAAAAGCAAGCTAAGGCAAAGCTCTGGAACAAGGTCCGTACTGCAGAAACAGTGAGTGCATGCCATACCTCCATGAGGATGAGTCCTGTAACTTGGGCTTGGTGGAGAAGAAAGCTGCAGCTGGGCTGTGAAGACCCAAACGACTCGAAAAACATATTCCGTGAAAGGGTGTAGGGCCTGCGTCATGTAGGAGAGCTCGGACACAGTCTGCAGAATGTGAAATCAATAGTCAGCATTTATTGGACGGCCCTCCTTACCCTGACCCAAGAGCACAGGTAACTGGTAGGCGATGGATGTCCTGATATTTTGTGTCCCAGATCCTGCCAGATGAGATGAAGTAAAGGCCTGGTACTGACAGCCCACCCCACCCTCCCGACATTGTCTGCACAACTCACACACAAATTCTCTCCTTAAAAAATAGTAAAATTATGGATTCAATTATTTGAAACGTATTTCAAGGTTTTACTAAAATTTTTCTATGTTAATGGTCTTGGTGACTTGGGATTATTTTTTTCTAAACTTACTCATGCTTTCCTGAAAGGGACAACACTCAAGGACCACCCTAGAGGCCCTTCTAAACTGGAAGAATTCCAGAGAATCTTCCTCCCGCCTCCCCTTTATCCTTCTTGGAATCTCTGGGGAAGGGGTGGATAGATAATAACAAGTAGGATAAGTAGGCATGTGAAGCTGTGCTGGAAAAATTGTGTGTGTGGCCAATAATTTATTTTTTTCATTTAAAAAAGTGTTTATGGAGTAGCAGAAATTAAAGTTCATCAGATTTAAATATTATGCTTGGATCTTTTCCAGAAAGCATGCATCCCTTTAAGTAGTCTCTCCTCATCCTTGAGGATACATTCCAGGACCTTTGGTTGATCACTGAACCTTCAGACAGCACTGAATCCTATGTATAAGGACACTGACATTAATATTGTGACAGTTGATCTGCTAACCAAGGTGATTATTAAGTGACTAACAGGTGGATAGCATACACCATGTGGATACAATGGACAAAAGAATGATTCATGGCCCAATGAAACAGAGTGTTATGATAAAAAATTGTATCATGCTATTGAAAACAGAAAGCAATGTAAGATTTATGAATTGTTTGTTTCTGAAATTTCCCATTAAATATTCTATGGCTGACAACAGGTAACTGAAACTACAGAAACCAAAACCACAAATAAGGGGACTACTGTTATTTTACGTAGTATTTGGGTACTTGAAATTATCCAGAGAGGGAAGTCCTTGCTTAAATACAAAAGTAGCTTTTCTCACCTCAGTGTAAGTCCAGCTTCCTGGAAGTTGTGCGTATTTCCACTGAATGATGTATTTCACTTCAGAGATGTTGGCAGATTTCCACCTTAAAGTAACACTGTGGCTTCCGATAGAAGAAGCAAAGGGTGCAGTAGGGAGGTTTGTGTTTTCTGGGGAGAAAACAGGGTTTCACTCAGTGTGCACTCTATCCACCAAAGCCAAAGAGAGTGTGCCTGCTTCCTCAAGGGCGCTCAGCATCCTCCTGCTACAGTGGCCAACTGAGCTATCCACGGTGCACTCGTGCCAGGTAGTTCTTTCTGTTTTAGAGGTGTGCAACATGGAGTGCTCAGCACTTTCCAGTGTCTCTTAGGTGCTGCTTTCTTACAGGCCAGGGGCATGGATGCCCATTACGGCTTGTGTTTAGAGGGCCCCCCCAAAGCCTCATGTGGTCATAGGTGAGGCTTTTCAGAGGTGGCTGGATCTAGAGTATGTGATGCAGGGATTGTGTGTGTGATTACTAAATCTGTTTGCTGCTTGGTTTGGCACCACCCTAATCCCAGGGGCCTAGATAGAGTATAAAGGGGACAGAAAAAAGCTGCTAAGGTACTTTGCTTGACTACTTTTGTTGTCTTCTGCCTGCCATGAACTGTTTTCTCCTCTGTGATACCCCTCTGCCAAGCCACTCTGCCTTGGAGCCAGCCGAGTACGGACTGAAACCTCTACAAACTGTGAGCCAAATAACCCTTTCCTCCCTTAACTTTGGGTGTCAGGTATTTTGTCTCAGGAATGAAAAAAGTAAGTCAGTGCCAAAGCATATCTGGGGTACAGCAGAGTCACCCACTGCCCTAGGACATGTACTTCAAGATAGATTTTGAGATTTTACACTATAATTCTGCTATTACTGCCCATGTTGCCAACAATTTTTTTTTATATGTACAGGCTTTACATTCCACTGTGTTTCTAATAAGGCATTTCATGGCTTCTGAACATTACAGACTTTACAGGTTGTGGCTTGCATTTACTGGATGCTACTTGCCAAGCATGATACCTGAAGCTAGTTTTCTGCACTCCATGTATCACTAGGAGGAAATTGATTTATTTTACTTTCTCTTGCTTTTTCCAAAATGTGATGAATTTAATGCTTTGGCTTTCTTTGATAGAAAAAAATAACTACTGCTTGGATTGCAAAAGCATGGTAGATTTGGTAGAGAGCTTTAAATGTTTAAAATCAAACTGCCAGGACCTCACAATATTCCTACACTCTGGTCCTTGAAACAGCAGCACCGGGAAGTCAAGCTGGCTCGGGCTGCACGTTGTTCCTCATTAGGACAGAGGGCCCGAGTCTCCTGACCCTGAGGCAAGGCCCACCCTTGACGTCAGTCACTGCCACACTGCCTCTGTGTTGTCTGCAAGAAGGATCGTATTGAGCCTAGGTCAACATGGCCTCTGCTTTTCAAATTCCTGAGTTTTCGCCATCTGTAAATCTTTTTCGGCTCTACTGAGAGGTAGACATGGTAAGAAGTGCTGTCAGAAGAGCCACTCATTAGGGTGTGGTGGTCAGGCGCGGTCCTCACCCAGCACCTCCTCCTCGTAGGCGCCTTCTGCACTGCTGCAGCCAACTTCGCAGGCCTCTCGCTGTAGAGACAGAGATGTGCATAAGGGTGGCCTCATGTTGGCCAGTGACAAGCTCCCACCAGAACCTGAAACCCAAATATCTGACAAAAATTATATCTTGTGTGTCTGATTTACTCCACTCAATATTATGGTCTCAAGTTGCATCCATTTTCCCCAAAGTAAACAGCAAAAGAACTAAAGAACAAAATAAAAGCTAGATTCTAGGAAACAGGAAGACAGATCTTTTGCAAATGGAATGGGCTCAAGAGATGGCGAGAGGAGAGGGGAAAGGGACATGAAGGAATGAAGACATGTCGTTGCACCAACTCCCCACAGTGATTATAATCATGTACTGCAACAATGTACTAATAAAAATAAAAACTGAAAAAGCATTATCTTTACATCAACTATTTCAACTGAAATACTTAAAGTTCCAGCTTGGTGGGATTACACCAGTGCTTCCCAAATTGCTTTTGCCTATATTCTATAGTAAAAAAAAAATTAAAAAACAACCAAGTACATATATACATACATATTTTTAAAAAGATTCATGAAAAATATGGCCCCTGCCATTTTAGCAGTTTTGTTGCAATATATTCACATACCATAAAATTTAAAATACAGGTTCAGCTGGGTGTGGTGGTGCATGCCTGTAACCCTAGCATTTGGGAGGTTGAGGAAAGAGGATCATCATGAGTTGGAGGCCAGTCTGGACTATATAGTGAGTTCAAGGCCAGCCTGAACTACATGGTTAGAACCTGTATCAAATATAGATAGATAGATAGACAGGATAGATAGAGATAGTTTCAGTGGTTTTTAGTATATTTATAGAGCTGTACCAGTGATGTAATTTTAGGACACTTTCATTACCCCAAACTGAAGCCCTGTACCTGATGTACTCTTAGGTGTTCAACTCTATTCCATCTTGTTTCTTGTGACCCTTGGTTTTGGTTAACTGAATCAATTCCATGGCCCTCTGATGAGTCACCACCTCCAGCTTGAGAAGTGTTGAGCTTAGCAATGCAATTACAGCTTTGCCATCTTGATCAAAGTTTTCATGAGCTTGAAACCAAGATTTCTAGCCTAACATGATGCTTATGAGTTGCCTGATTATTGTGTTATCCATGCTTTCTCTGGAAAATTAAAAGGTGGCTATCAATTTTTATAATAGCTAAACAGTTTCAAGAATGTCTTAATACCAAAGTTGAATTTTAAGATCTACAGAAGTCTATTGATGATTGACCCATATCTCATCAACTAAAAAGCAGAGCACATATTTGATGACTGAAAACACAAACTTCCTACAACACCTAACAGATGGATTAGCATTAGGTACAGGAAAAGAAAAACTTGGATGGAAAGCACACATCATAAAACAGCAACACAACCATGATCAATCTTCCCGCTCTCCTTCAATTTATACTTATAAGGCCTGGGATAATATGCTGTTCTTTCTCATTGTTGGAGCAGAAGCCATGCCACAATACATTTGCCCTGGAAGACAGGCTGTAATTCACAAATGCTAACCCTCCCGTGTTTGATCTACGCACTGAAGGAAGCAGAGCCTGATAAGCCCAGGTTTGCTTAGTTAAGGATTAAGGTAAATACCTTAGTTTTGGCTCAGGATTATCTAACTTAAAGAGTTGGTGAACTTTTCACATCCTCTTTGCAACTTCAGGAAAAGTATTCAACATATCCATTAATTTTAGGAAAAAACAAGCCAATGGCATCAAAAGTTTCATTTGAGATTCTTTTTGCAAGAAAGAAAACCAAGGAAGAAGAATGGAGATACAGTTGGAAATAGAGTCTATTTGGAAGTATAGCTAGTCTTGACAGTCAGAAGAAAGTGTGGTGCTATTTTTCCTGGATTTTTCAGGGGAAATATCCAGTAGAAATGCCAACTGCCCAAGAGTTTAAATGCTACCCTAAGTGGTGATAAAGCTATGAACACGAGCACGGCAGCAACCAACACTGGACTTCAGTGAGGTCATCCAGACTTCTTGAGCTCAAACTGCCTGGAGTGAACCTAGAGGTGTTAGACAGAACAGTTCTCACAGTCTGACCCAAAGCCTGGCGTGGGCGGTTTCCACAGCAGGTCCTGCTTACCGAGCTGCCCTATTCACTGTGGAGGTTGCATCTATTCATCTAATGCTGCATGTGCCTGCAGACTCCTCCCACTACACTTTAGTTTCCAGTGCCATTAGACCATTTCTGCTGTCCCTCTGGCTCCATTTCTGGCCGCGCACGCAGCGGGTGCTGCCAGGACCTTGTCCAACTTGTGCCAGCCAAGGCAGGCGCACCCACCACCCTCAGAGGAGCAGCTACTTTGTTTTCCCAAAGATCATTTACCCATTCAAGAGTATTTATCGGTGCCTTTACGTGCCAAGGGCTGTTTTTTGCTCTAAGAATATGGCATTGAGCAAGGTAGGTAAGTTCCTTGCCTTGGTGGAATTTACACTCTCTCAGAAGTAGGAGGACGATAACCAAATAAGGTATTTTAACATTCAGGTAAAGAAAGTGCTGTGAGGAAAATGAAACAAGTCAAAGGCAGAGGGTGTGGCTAGTAGGAGGGAGCCTTTCTTCAGCTCAGGAATGGGCAGGACAGTGAGGAGATGACCCTCAGGCCAACATCTGAGTGGTGAGAAGTGCTGGGTTTATGCATATCTGAGGGCAGATGCCTGGGAACAGGGGCTTGTGCTCTGCAGGCAAGACACAGGAGGAGGGCGCAAGGAAAGCCAGGAAAGGACAGCAGGAGAAGACAAAAGAGCTAAGTCCATGCTTGATGTTCGCCACAGGCTGAGGTGCTGCAGTCAGACCCCCGACCCCGGCTGGGCCACGCCACTGGCTTGTCAGTTCCCAAGATGGACTCCCTCCAACGACTCTGGGTGACAAAAATGCCAAGTTTTGCTAGGTGCAAATACTAACAATGAAAGTTTTATTTCGTAAAGGTGTGCACAACTGAGTTAAAATACTATGTGTCTATACATCTATCTACACTGTATGTATTTCCATGCTATTTAAGGTGTGACATTTTAAAGTGTAAAATAACCAAGTATATGGGGCTGGGGATTTAGCTCAGCGGCAAAGCGCCTGCCTGGCAAGCGCAAGGTCGTGAGTTCGGTTCCTGGTACCGGAGAAAAACCAAAAACACCAAAAAAAAATAAATAAATAAAATAACCAAGTATAACAAGAGAAAATATTCACACATCTAAGTACAGGCACCTGGGCAGCACAACAATTAGTGAGTTATGCACATCATCCTGGGCAGCTCTGTGGCTTATGAAACTCTCTCCCCTGCCTGGCTCTTCATGGCACTTTATTTTTTTTTATTTTTTATTTTTTTTTTGGTTTTTCTCCAGTACCGGGAACCGAACTCACAACCTTGCGCTTGCCAGGCAGGAGCTTTTGCCGCTGAGCTAAATCCCCAGCCCCTTCATGGCACTTTAGTAGTAGTGCTGCTTTAATCATGTAAGAATTCTCAGAAGCTTTTTAAATTTTTTTACCTCAGTCAGGTGAGATCTTTGTCTGTTGACACATGGGGTGAATTTCCCTATCTATTTTACTGAGTCTTAGCCCACCCCACCACCACCCATTCCCAAGGAAAACCCCACAGGGCAGGGAGGCCACAGACCACTGAGAAAAGTTCCACTCAATTTGTGTTCTTATTTTTGCTATTGAAAAAGAATGCTCTGCTCTAGTAATGGCTGATGATGTATATTCCTTCCCCAAGCAAGGAAATGTAGTTCTCTCTGTTTCTAGAACATTCAAACTGAACACAGTATAGATTTGAAGGTGAGAAATAACATAGTTTCTTTATGTCACCTGCTGTCAAATAACCTAATCCTGAGGGACGGAACCCAGGAGGGACAAGTGTAAGTGTAGAAGACTGAGCAGGAAAAGATCAAACTCTCAAGGTTGTTCTGAAGAGGAGAAAGTCAAGGGGAGAGAGGACCAGAGAGGCCCCAACAGAGAGCCAGAGCCAGCATGGAGCCACTGCTCTTGTAGCACGGGAAAGCTGCTTCCAAGTGCTGGCAATGACTGTGTTGGATAATGAAGAAAACTGCATTTTCATGCTGTGGACTAGGGGATGAGACTGGTCAAGGCAACCCTGGATGTGTCTTTGAGTGTCCCTTCCCCTTCCCAGGCTCCAGGACACACTGTTTCAGCCAGATTAGAGTCATATAAAGTTGCTCCTCGACTGAACACTTCCAGACATTTTTCTTATTTTTATGGCCTAAAGACTATAACAGTTGTTTGCCTTGTACTGTATTAGGTATTATAAGTAATCTACAGGTGATCTGAGGCATACAGCAGGATGTGCACAGGTTATATGCAAGTATTATGTAGTATTACATAAGGAGCTTGAGTATTGAGCACTTTTGTGCCCACAGAGTTCCTAGAACCAGTCCCCTGCAGAAACGAAGGGGCAACTACACACATATACATGTGAATGTGTGTATACACATGCATATCCCGATAGATTTATATACACGTGTAAACACACATAGATACATAAAGCAGCCAGTGTTTATTCCACAAATGGAATCAGCCATCATTTTTGTACCTGGAGTAATAGCTCTCTCAGGAAGAAAGTCTGTGCGTGAGAATGTTGTACACGTATTCATTTTTAATAGAGACCTGAGATAAATACATGGGTTTGACAACACCCTTTCTAAGTAACTATCCACTCACCTCATAAACAGCGGCATAAGTATCATTCTGCATAGGAAGAACGGAAAGGAAAATGACTTAAAATCTTGAAAGTTGTAAATAATTCTAATGCACTTAGAATTATTATTATGTACTTAGTTGTACATTTCTTCCAAATTAATTTTTTTCCCCAAGGTTGATAAGCCACCAAACAAAACATAAGCAAAATGTCCCCCCCAGCGGCCACTGTGTGAAGCATTCTGAACTGAGTTTGCATCATTGGAAAAGGCAGTGGAGCAGGATGTGTGCTAGCAAATCTTCGCCAGTCAAGAGGGGAGCTGTGACACTCCACATTACGGGGTGAAGTGTCCCCAGAGACCCAAGGGAGACGGACTAAAATGGAAGCCACCAGTGGCCCCACCTAGCAAAGGCCAGTGGGCTCCTCGGCCCAGCCTTGCTTCCCAGCGTCCATGCTTCCTGGGTTGCTGCCCAACAACAAACAAATGCCTCTTGCCCTCTTCCTGTCCATTCACGGGAAAGTGCTGCTGTGTGCCTCTCACTGTGTGCAGGGCAGGAAACACAGTCTGAGAACTACAGAGTATTCTGCCCATGGTGTAAAAGAAAACAAAGACATATATGGACAAATAATTCAGTTGTCATTTGTGAAAGTACATAACAATCACTAAGTCCAGGTATAAGATGTTCCTCTCTTCCTAACTTCCATGGGGCACACAGCCACAGTGTGGGCATGGGCATAAGTCTGGAAATCAAGGACTGCAGGGGCACACTGGATAAAAAAAAAAAATGAAGAATGTAAATAAGAAGAGGTTAATGTCTTTATTTAAATATCAGTATTATAATTTGATCCAGTGATAGAAAATATTAGGATTACCCTACATTGCCATGATTCACTGGTTTAACCTCTTACCTGAACAAAGGAAGCCACTTTTAAGCAACAAAATTCTTTTTTTTTTTTTTTTTTTTTTTTTGGTTTTTTTCCGGTACCAGGAATTGAACTCATGACCTTGTGCTTGCTAGGCAAGGCGCTGTGCCACTGAGCTAAATCCCCAGCCCCAACAAAATTCTTTTCCATAAAACCAGAATACTTACCAATGTGTCAAGACTATCCTTAGGAGGAGATTCTAACATTATTCTAACTTAATGACAAGAAAGTAGAGAATCAAGGGATTAAGTATGTACTACAATTACATTACATACTAAGTGGCAAAGTTAGACTAAATTAAAAATGAAAAACAATCTGAAATAAATATTCTTACATAGAATAGACTAGGTTGACAACATCTGGATTCAATGGTACCATGTTCCCTGTAAAAAACTCTGAACTTGACCCAGTACCCTGCTGCCCAAAGCATGGTTGGGGGACCATCAGGATAGAAGCCTGCTACAAGTGCAGAATCTCAGGTCATGTGCCAGGCTACAGCTCACTAGATCTCAGATAACTGCACATCAAAAACTGGCGCTCATGAGACCAGGAAAGTTAAGAAATACCTAACGTTTTACTAAAAAAGGTTTATGGTTTTGGAGCATCTGGGCACCTCAGGAACCCTTGGATTGCTTTGCCCTTCCTCTGCCCCTGTTGCATGATTAATGTTGATCTCAGTGCTCTCCGTTCATATGGATGGTTCTGGCTAGCCCATTTTCCCTTTAGAGTCAAATAAACTGATAGAAAACCAGTGGAAATGCAAATGAGAATCCTCTTAGACAACTTTCCTGCACAGGGAAGCAGCCATATCAAAAAGGAAACACAAGCCACACTTACACACTTGACAGCACAGTTTTCCTGGTGTATAGAGCTCCAAAAGTGACATCCTTGGATACACTACAAGAGATAGCAACAGACAATAGTGATGAAAAAAATGCAACTTTTCTTGTCACATGAAAGGGCAGACTACAAAAAGTATCATCTTATGGTTTTTTTTTATTGTTGTTGTTTTTGTTTTTTGGCACTGGGAGTCGAACTCATGACCTCAGACTTGCCAGGCACATCCTGTGTTTTAGAAACAGAAATCTACCAAGCAAGCTAAGGCCCCAAAAGACCAAGAGCTTTGTGGTTGTGATCAGCACTGCCCTAACTTCAGGGGGACCAGAACTTGGGGTGGGTAACCGCAGAGCAGCAGGGTGGCTGAACAGTTAAGCCGCGGGCAGCCTAGAGCCCAGAAAGCTCCCAATCTGGGTAGCAGGCAACAGGCAAAGTCCAGAACAGCATAGCATCGAATGTATGCTGGGTCCACCGGCTGTGCTCACAACCAGTCCAGCTCAAAACTAACCAGTGGACCACATGGGCAGCCTGCTGCCGCTAGCCACATTCACCCACAGCTTCCCTCAAAACATTTTTCAGCGCCACCTGACCACCTGTTGGACAGACTTGGCACACTTCTCCTTGCCTTTCCTGATGGCCTAGGCCTTCAACGTATCAACCATTCTTACCTCGGGCCACGTATAAATAACCCCAAATCTGTAACTGTGACTGGGCTTCTTCCTGAACTACAACCCAGACAGCCACTTAGACTTCTCTTACGCCCCTGCCAGCAACTCAGATTTGCACATGAAACGTGAAGCTCCTCGCTTCCCACCCGCTCTTTCTCCTGTGTCTCCCATCAGTCTGCTACAACCCTCTGAGCTTCCTTTCCTCCACCCTCCTCCCACGCCCATGGGCCCGCCTTCTCCAAACCCTGCTGGCCGCCTGAAGTCCACCACGGGCCTGCCCTCACTGCCCTGACTTCTGCTGGGCCCTTCACCATTTGCCTACAGCCGCATGAAGGATCATCTGGTCTCCTGATCTTGCAAGAGCAAACCTGGTCACACCCTCCTGTTATTTGAACTCTCTATGACCCTCCATCTTTCTGTGGATTGAGGCCAAGAGACCAAGCATGGATACAGAGCCCCCAGCTACCTAACTGCCAGCCTTGGCCACTCCTTCCCCTCCACACGTGTACCCATTTTCCCAGCAAGCTGAAATGCACTGTCTTCCCTGAGCGGGCAGGCTGCCTCACAGGTCCACATCTTGATGCATAAGCCCCTCTGCTGGTGGGCCTTTCCCTTCCTGCTTCTTTAGAAAACTCTTCTTTCAGGTTTCAATTTGGAGGCCTTCCGAGCAACCAGGTACTAACTTTTTCCTCCTGTGCCTCCTCCACATACGCACTACTGTCCCAGTTCTCATGGTGGTGTGTGGCCCAGGTTTCACCTGTGTGTCTAAAAGGCTGAGAGTCCTTTTAAACACAGATACTATTTCATTCCTTTGCAGGTCTCTAGTACCCAACACAGTGCCTGGCTCAAACTGATAGCTTGAGTCACCAAACACTGATAAATGAGTACACGTGCAAAAAAGGAATAAAACCGTAAACTGCAATTGTTAGAAGAAATATGAGAGACCATGCGCCCCAACCCTCTCAGATTACATGCAGTAAAACGCATTCTCCAAAGTAATTTGTCCAAAGCCACATGGCTATGTAAAAATTATGGGCTTGGATCAGACCTGTGCTTTTTCTACTTCAATATACTTTGTTTTTAAATAAACCTCATAATCGAGACTTCTCTGTATTTTTGATTGAACTTTTTTCCAGCAGAGACAAGTAAGTGAGATTTTACTTAGCAATTATTCTTACTATAATAAAACCTGACTATTGTTCCTTTTCTTCTCTTTCTTTTTTTTCTTTTCTTTTCTTTTCAGGTGCCAGGAATGGAGCTTAGGACCTCTTACACTTGCCAGGCAGGTGCTGTGCCACTGAGCTATATCCCTGGCCCCACTGTTCCTTTTCAATCAACACAAATGCCATAAAGTTCTTTTTTTTTTTTTTTTTTTTTTTTTTTTTTTTTCTCTGGTACCGGGAACCAAACTCACGACCTTGCACTTGCCAGGCAGGCGCTTTTGCCGCTGAGCTAAATCCCCAGCCCCACCATAAAGTTCTTGACAGTTAAGCAGTTACTCACCGGTCCACTCAGATTATGTGGGGTGCCAAGGTCCGGCTGCTCACCCTGAAAAGAAGGGTGTAATGAAAACCAGCTATTGATATTGGTAATTACCCCACCTTTCTTAAAAGCTCCCCAGATTGGTGTTGCCTCCTCTCTGTTTTCTAACAGTGAAGTAAGAAGCTACATGTTCTAAAATCATTAAATCCATCATGAAAGCAGACAAAATGCTGGTGCAAATTACACATTCAACCCCTGAAGTTTTGTGGGAGCCACAAAGATAGGATTATGAATAGATTTAAGAGCAGCAGAGGTTGATGAGAGCATCTCCTACCAAATTAGATAAATCTATGGATGATCAATTAATTAGGTCAATTGATTAGGTGCTCTCCTGGATTGCAGATGAATTGGCCCAGATTCTTTTTTCTTTCAATTACTCTTGAAGAGCAGAATGTTGTACATGTGTGTAACACAATACACAAATGCTAGCTTTATTTCTCACATATTTCCAAATTTTAAGAAGTTTTGTAGTGGGAGCAAAATAAGAAGAAACTAAAGGAGGAGACCTGTAGATGTCTCATCTTCTCTCCTGTCCTTATTGAGGTGAAGTCCTCCTTCCGGGGTCTACAAAGGTGAGTGCTGATTCAAGCCTCCCCTGGGAGGTCTGCTGCCAGGAGCCACTGCACTGCAGAGGTGACCCAAGAGGGACCCAGTGCTGCAAGCAAGATAAGGCCCAGGAGAGGACAGAAAAGCCCCCAGGAGGCTCAAGAGCTGGCATAAACCTGCTGTGCCTCTGAGCAGCCCGAGTTCTTCAGAGGGGACAGGGAAAGCTCACCAAGTACCCTCCTTTCCGACCACTTTACCCCTGTTCTTTGCTCTCCAGCCCCCAGGACCTATAGCAATGCCTGGTGGGTAAGGAGTGGTCCATGACTATTAAGGTATAAATCCACGAAGCTCTCCGAAGCTTCACCCAGTCATCAAAGGCCTAGATCATAAAGGTCATCTTCAAAAGTAGTTAGACACAGAATCCGAAAGACAAATATGACCCTTTTTTCTATCTCTCATTTACATGAACAAAGATGACTCAAAACTCCAGCCCCAGTTGGGCATGGTGGTGCATGGCTGTAATGCTAGCACTCTGGGGAGGCTGAGGCAGGAGGATCACAAGTTCCAGCTCAGCCTAGCCAATTTAGTGAGTAAACAAGCCCTCATCTCAAAATAAAAAATATTTTAGAAAAACAGCTAGGGATGTAGCTCATGCTAAGGCCCTGAGTTCAATACCCAGTACAAAACACAACAAAAAAACAAGCCTCTAGTCTTTAACCATTTAGCATTTGATTTATTGGGAAACAAAACTACTTACAGATTTTTTTCCAGTAAAAAGAACAAAATAATAAAAATATTTTGTGTTAGACAGTATGTCTTTTAGATTAATTTGTAACCTAGTATTGATTAGATCCTGTTTCCATGATTTTGCTCAAAATAAAGCTTAATTCCCCTTCATCCAATTGAACTACCCTTAGACTCAGGTGAAAAACAATAAATTATAAATAAATTTTTCCCAGTCTTTCAAAATGTACGTCAGTTCATAAAAGCGAGCCACGAAGCACGTGCTGGGCGGTCTTTGCATTCTCTTTAGAACGGTGAAAAGCAGAGGTGTTCCTCAGGGACCACAGTCGGGACAAGGACCCGGGCCCTCCGCTGGTGTCTCTGGAGATCTAACTGCGCAAACTATCGCTGAACCCCTCTCGAGCAGTCTTGGGGGAGGTCGCCCGGGAGCCAGGTGAACTGGTTCTGAAGAAACAGGTTTTATGAACTCCTACTCTGCTTTCTCTCCCTCGCACCCTCATAATCAGCAAAGCTAATGAGCGCTGACCTAGCCCCATGTTCCGGACTTGCACAGGCGCTCACAGGGAGCTGCTCCAGCGTCTCAAGCATCTAGCACCGCAGCGGGCCTGAGGGCAGGAGATTTCTCGCCCCGCAGTTTATCTGAAGGCCGGTTTCTCCCACTGCCTGTCTCGGAGAGTCAAACCTAGCCGCACATTTCAGACCCTGTCAAGCTAACACCCACTTGTGGGCGCAAGCTTTACTACCCTGCCCACCTCCACCGGAGCTAACCTCATTCTTTGCTTCCTACCCTAATAAACAGGGCAAAAGGATCTCTATTTCAATCCCACATACGCCCCTTGATCCCAACATGAAGTTTTAAACTAGTGTTCTCGTTCTCATCTGATACACAAGTAATATTTAATTCATAAAGCTCTGAGACGATTCAATTAAAGAATGTACTCCTTATTATAAGGGTGCTGGCCTTTAGAAATCTATTGTTGGAATTGTGTGCACATGTATCTTGGGCTAAATCTCCACAGATAAATTTCTGGTTTGCAGGGATAAATGTATAATTTCCTTTTCACTTTTGATATTTACTAACTTATTCTTTTTTAGAAATTGATCGATTTCTATCCCAAGGAATAGTACATGCAAATGTTAGTTTACTCATACTTTTGCTAACTATAAATGTTTTATCTTTGCCAACCCAATAGATCAAACAAAACGGTAATTCATTTTCACTTTACAGTTCTGTGGCTGATGCAAAGTTGAATATTACATGCTTTTTAGCCATTTATAGTTCTTTTTTGAAGTGGCCATCATGTTCTAAACTTACACTTTATACCTAATATTAGGGTTGGTAAAATTTTATCTATCATACATAATACCTTCTTCGACTTTTTGGCCTAGTGTTCACTGTATTATGCTTATTGTCATAATAGTTTAAGTTTTAAATAATCAAATTTATTGATAATATCTTTTAGGGAGTCTCAATTTTTTAGATAAGATTTTTCAAGGTAATGTATTCCCACTCTAAGATTATAGAAACATTCACCCCTAATTTCTTCTAATATTTTAATGGGACAGATTATTGTGGGGGGGTTGTTGTTATTTGCTGTCTGAATGTAAATCACTCCCTTTGTTTAGCATCTCCTAGAATTTGTTTGAATAGTGATGCAAGTATTTTTTTTTTTTTTAAATAGTGCCTTTCTGGCACTATTTTCTTTAAAATAGTGCCTTACTGGTACATATTCTGTACTCTTTTATGTACCTGGTTTTGTTTTTTAGACTCTATGTCATTGCAGTGCTTACCCTATTCCCCCACCAATACAAACTGCTGATTAGAGGTCTGATAGAATTTATGGGTTGTGGTTTTGTTCCAATATCCTATTTTAATGTTATACATTGACATCCAAGAAGGGTACTGACGTTTGCATATGATTTTTTTTTTTCACACAGAATGACCTTGTACAATCTATTATTTTTTGGTAGTCTTTCAGTTGATTTGTGGTTGATTCCTTTGGAATTTAAAAAGCAAATTTTAAAAATGTATTGTGATCCTCCAATATCATGAAAACTATGTCATACCTGCAATAGTTTGTAACTGCCCATTTATAGAAAACTTGACACATCAACCATTTGTACCTTCCTTCTCAAGGGCATTCATCACACAGTTTACCTTTTTGTATTCCCAAGTGCACACACCACAGAGCTGAATAGGCATAGAGACCCAGGAAACAACCTGGATTGATTCTCCTAACTGAGGCCTGAGCTTTAGCTCTTCAGTTGTCATGATTTTTTTATTAGTAACAAAATTTTCTTACCAAAGATTAGAAAATTGACAAGCAAGCCAGGCATCGTGACACACACCTATAATCCTACCACTCAGGAGGCTGAGGCAGGAGGATCTCTGTACATTCAAGACCAGCCTGATCTACATAGTGAAACCCTGTCTCAAAAAACAAAACAACAACAACAACAACAACAAACTAAAAAGAAACAAAGCTTTTAATTTGTTATTTTTCCTGTGGATCTATAAAAAAAGGGAGGAGGATGCAGCAAAATCTACCTGCACAAATTATTTAGGCACAAATATTTGTTTTTTCTCTTTTATGAAGGTTGTTACACACATTGCTTTATTTTCTGCAGCACACCATCTAGAATTCAGTTAACACAGGAGCAGACGCTGCAGCTCCCTCCACTAGTGTAAGAGACCCATCTCAAGCTCAGGGCTCTGACTTGAGCATTTTTGTCCAGCAACTCTGCTACTCTGGTCAAGGCTTTTCTCTTTTACATGAGAGATATCGTAATATCAAGTGAAATCAAAGATGAACTTCGCAGTGCAAATCCGTGTTCAAAAGGATGCCACAGAAAATACAAGCTCCATATCCTCAGCCTCCTTCAGGAGTTGCTCCTCTCCTCTGTCCCTCCAGGTCCTGCGTAGGAGCCAGGTCAGGCCGTTTCCATGACTCCCACTGAGCAGACTGGCGGGCCGTCTGTCCTGCCTAGGTCTTTCCTTGTGGGTGTGAGCGGAAGGCGACTCAACAAGAGTGATGGTCCAGCTCTGCTGCCAAGCCCCTACACCAAGGAGCCCACGTTAAGTATAAAACATGTGAAACTAGAACAAAAGGGAGGGGGCTGGGGATTTAGCTCAGCGGCACAGCTGAGCCTGCCTGGCAAGTGCAAGGTCATGAGTTCGATTCCCGGTACCAGAAAAAAACCCACAAAAAATAGAACAAAAGGGAGACTGTAATATGAAATGCAATCAAAATCAGTTTCAATAGTGGAAAAATCAAAGAAGTCACAGTAGTCTGTCCATATATATTAAAGATTCTGTTTCCCAAAAATCTTCAGATTTTTCTGAAAGAGAGATTGTAAGATAATGTGAAGTGAAAGGCTAGGTGCAGTGTGTAAAATTTTATGTAGATAGATAGCTGAGGATATATGAGAAACTAAAAAATATAACCAGAGGTTAATAGTGTTAGAATTACAGGGTTTTGTCTTTGTTCTTTTCTATTTACCTTATAAATGTTTTTACATATATGCATATTCTTACTATATTCAGAAAAAAACCTTTTAGGAAAGGAAACATTTCATCATCCCATGTTTCCGTTTTTAAGTTGGAATTACAACTGTAAAAAAAACTAGACAACTACACGTTAAAGGCAATGAAATCTTTAGCTAAAATTTATATAAAATTCTAAATGTTCTAAAATCCTACCCTCTAAAGGAAGCCTAAATAGTGTTTTAAACTATAAATTAAACCCAAAGTGTGCAACACAAGTTACTTTTTTAATCTATCTCAAAATTCTATCTTCAATAGGTTAGAATAATAACGAATATTGTATTTGGTGCTCTTGTTACTTTAAAATGTATGGCTTTTTGTCCTATGCATGCTACCAAGCTATTTCCTCTATGTTTAAACTTTTAAAATTGATTTAGTCACTGTTTTAGACACAACTGAATTACATCTGAAAACAGATGCAGCGCTTAGGGTCAGTGTTGGCCTTATGGGGAAATTTGATTTGGTTCTCATCCAGTTCAGTTCTGGAATTCCATGAAGTCCACAGTTGTGGAAAGAATCAAGTTCATGAACTGAGGTACCACTGTACAGAGTAATGACAACAACCAGAATTGAGAAAGAAAACACACATTTAAAAAACTCATTAATCAAAAATAACAAATGCACAGGTAGAAACAAAGGAATTTATGGGTAATTCTTTAAAATTAAAATGTGTCTCCACATGAGAGTCACCTCCGCTTCCTTGGTCATCAGCTCTCTACACTGCCGTCCATCCACAATAAAATTTGTCAGCCCAAAAGTAGCAGGCTTACCTGGGCCAAATCTATTTCATATTTTAGGACAAATATTAATTATTTTGTCATAGATTATTTTAAATGGAATATCTTACAGTGTCCAAAATTGATTCCATTTGTCTCCTTAATACCATCATCCCCCAAAACTCTATAACAGAATAATAAAGAAATAAAATAACCAGCCTTATCTTTTGCAACTATGAGTATTCCTAACTTAAATCAGAAAAAAACTACCCGGCCTTGCTACCACTTCCCAAGAGAAAAGATCTCACAAAAAATTATCAGTTATCACAAGCGGAATTCATCTTCTAGTACGCGCAAAGACAAGTATCAGATCTGTAAAACTTACCAAGTTAGTTACACAGGACTTCAGGCAGGTGTTTAAAATTGCACACTGGGCCGCAGAAATCCATATGCTACCAAGAGCTGTAAAGCCAACACGCCTCATCCCTTCGCCAGTGGTGGACTGTTAGATGGCCGGTCTGAATTTCTCCATTTTCTGTATGAGTTCTTTAAGCTTCATTACCTCGACGAAAGAGTCTCTAGTGGAGTTTTTTTACCTTGTTTTGCAATGTTAGAGTATCTTTGCCTTTTGAAATAACGTTCAGACCTTTTAGTTTAGAAATTTGAGTCCTAGATAGCTTGAAACACTCCCATAAGAGCTTTCAGAACCTAGTTTCCTTTTCCTCTCATGATGGAACCTTTTCCTGATTAAAGGTTAAATCTTAGAAGAGCACTTCACACGGGAAGTAAACAAAATAGCAAGTGCAAATTGCATCTCAGAAAGCACATGACACATGCGTAGTCTGAAGTTAGAGCACTTGACTGGGTCATCTGCCACTTGAGATCTCTGAAGTTGCCAACTATGGGTTCTGACCATACACGCTCTAGAGAACAGTGGCATTACTATAACAAAGAATTATCAAAAAAGAATTAGAAGCACCTAAATCAAGCGATGTAACAGAGGGAGAACAGAACACGTTTAAACCAAATACATTTAAAATTGAAGAGCAAACAAAGCTGAAATTAATAGATAAATTCTCTGAGGTGAGCTAGAGACAAGGAAGTTCGTTAGAAAGCTCTCAGATCTTTACTACACATTAACTAAAACATTGTCTTTACCAGGCCTATTGAGACAGAAACCAGCCACCACAGAGATCTAAGATACGCTGAAGGGTAGCTGCCCTGAAAGGGAAATGTGCAGAATTTCAATTAGCGTAGGATTGAGATAAAGCAAAGCTGGAGCCCAAAACAAAGAATTTGAAATTTGCAGTATGCAGAAGTGAGCCATTCTGAAGTAGCTACTTTTCAGACTGTGGAGCATTAACTCTTTCAGGCCAGGTACTTTTTATTTTCATGGTGGTGTTCTTTTTTAATGACAATCTGAAATGTCCTTGCTTGTCTTCTTAAATAAATTATAAAGTATAGAAAATGCAACATAACCTTTTCTTAGTGATATGAGGTTCACACTGTAGCACATGCCTGAGGCTTTGTTTTGAGCTGAACATCTAAAAAGCAAACATTGACAAAGAATGTACAACATAAACATAAATTGATACTGAACTTAACCCCTAAAGCCTGTTTGCTTGGAAAAAATCTCTTGCTGTTCATCTGCCCTTTGTTCAGATTTTTTGCATTTCAGGAATGGATCAAAGGATATACAGCTACATTAGAGGAATCTAACCAACTTTCTATAAAATATACTTGTAAAAAAGAAAATAAAGTACATTGCCTATCAGATTTTTTCATTCCAACAAAATTTATCTTCTTCACTGTGACTACAGATTCTTCTTGCCCTATTAGCTTTTAGGACAGAGCACCAAATATGATACACTTAAAACACTAATTCATTCTTTTCTCTCACTTGTTCTAACTTCATTGGTGAGGTGTGAAATACCAAGAGTTTACATTGTTCTGGTTTGGAAATTTAACCAGCACACAAGTTTTCACTTGTGGAAGATGAAGTATGTTCAGAGATATTTGTGACAGAATTGTTCATATCAGCAAAAAGTTGGAAGCAATCTAAAAGTACAATAAGATAATGCTGAATCAAACTACACCTATTTATATTAGCTTTATGTGGCTTCTCCAGGTGAATCTGTTTGAATTTCTTCCCCATGCAGGCTGGCAATTAGAATGCTTACATAGTGGCATAGTGGCATAGTGGTGAAAGTGCTCCAGGTCTCAAAGCATAAGCTATATGGTCTTAAAATGTCACATCTGCTCATTCTACTGATTGCCAGAGAGTCAGAAACATACGCCCAGATTCGAAGACAATGGAGTGAAACCCCTATCTCTTGATATGGCAGAGCCAAGACTACAGAAGAACGAGTAGGATGGGAGAGATTATTGTACTGCTTTTAAAAAAAATACAATATGCCACCTTAAAGGTCGTCATCATTTATATAGTACTGATACGCAGAAATTTCAGTTTCCACAGTTTCCCAATACCACATCTAACTTTAGTTAATATCACATATTAACAGTGAGTGATTGCATAAAATATGAACTTCTCAGCTAGCCTTTCAGTCCATAAATTAGAGGTAAGTAGCAGATGGAACTGTGATCATAAATCAGTTGTGTCCCTTCTTCCAAAGTCTATCAGTGATGGGTCACTGTACATTGTTCTTCACTTCATGCATGCACAGCAGCAAAGCATGTCATTGTGTCGTCTCTGTCTCCCAGGGGCAAGTTCACACGACATTTTGTAAAATGACACTTAGAAAGATAAGTAATTGAAAGATGGAATTGGCAGCAAATGTAAAGCAAAACAATGTAGAAGTGAAATTTAAATCAAATAAAATTAGAAATCACTGACCACATGTTAGCATTCTGTTATTATAAAAGAATACCTGAGATGATCGACTTACAAAGAGAAAAAGTTTATTTTGTCTTACAGCTTTGGAGGTTCCAGTCCATAACCAGGCCACGCCAATGCTTTTAGTTTTCTCATGGAAGGGCAGACAACGTGACAAGAGCAGTTGGGACAGTAAAGCTTCTCACCCCATAGCCAGGGAGCAAATGATAGAAAGAGGACAGGGCAAGGCCCTTATTCCCTGGGCCAGACACTCCCAGTACGGAGAAAGAGCTCATGCTAAGCCCTACCTCCCAAAGGCCTAATCACCTCTCAATGGTGCCATGTTACAAAACAAGCTTTTAACACATGGGCCTTTGGGAACATTCAGAATACAAACAATAGCATGATAATAATACTGATATTGCTGCCATTTGACAGACTCTGTACATGGAGCCCAGGGAAATAAGTGAAAGTAAATTTGTAAACATAAATGAAGGAATTGATTGTGTTGAAAAAGATGAAGGTATCCTATCGGGTGTCATGCCAGCAAAAAAACAAACAATCACATGAAACATATCTTTGGAGAATATTTTTCCCTGCCACTTTCAAATCTGGAGTTGTTTTAGAAATTAGAAGTTCTAGAAGGATGGTATTTAAGTGGTTGTTCTTTCTTTGAAGGAGTATACGTACTCTTTGTTATGGTTTAGAGTTCTCCAAAATCTCAGGTGTGTGGAAGGTGACTGGATCATGAGCAGTTACTCATCAGCAGGTTACTTCACTGATGAGTTCACAGTTGACTAGCTGTTAGGCTTTGTAACAGAAGGGTCATTGAGGGCATGACCTGGATGGGGTATTCTTTTCCTTGCTCCCTTCTCTTTTTTTTTTTCTTTTCTTTTCTCTTCTCTGTCTTCCTCCTTCTCTCCTTTTTATTCCCTTCTTCTTCTTCTCTTCTTCTTCTTCTCCTCTTCTCCTCCTCCTCTTCCTCTTTTTCCTCTTATTCTCCTGCTCCTTCTTTTCGCTCTTTCTGTCTATCTATCTGTATCTCTCTCTCATCTCTCTTCCTAGCCATGATGACATGAGCAATATTCTTCCACCAAGCCTTTCTATCATGTTATTCTCCCTTGGAATCAGTCAAACATGGACTAAATCCACTGAGACCGTGAGCCAAAATAAAACTCTCTTTCTTTAAGTTGTGGGTGTTCAGTATTTTGTCTCAGCAACAGGAAATCTCACTGATACAAACTTTTGTACAAGGAGTAGTGTTGTTCCTGTGACTATACTTCATCATGGTGATTCAGGAACCTTTGGAACTGGTTTATGGGAGGAGTTTGGAAAGGTTTGGAGATGCTGGCTAGAAAAGCCTTAAAATGCTGAAAACAGAGATTGATGGGAGACTCTGGTCAGAACTCAGAAGGCTAGAATGGTGATAGGAATGCAGACAATAAAGGCCAGGCTTAGGAGGTTTCAGTGCTCAAGAGGTTTCAGTTAGGAAGGACTCCACAGGCAACTGGATGAGAGAGCATGGAAAATTTTATTCTAGCAAAGAACCATCTACATTTGGCCCATGTCCAAGGATTTTGTGTGAAGCTGAATTTAAAGATGGTAGAATAACTAACCTGGCAGAGAAAATTTTAAGGCAGCCCAATGTTCAGGCTGTGCCATGAGCCACATTGTTGCTTTTAACCACATTGACAATAAAACTTGTTGCTCTTAACCACATTGACAATAAAACTCCGGCGAGAAAGGCGAGTCAAATGACTTGAAAAACTTGTAGCTTGGCCAAAAAGGAAGTGTCAGCAAAGTTGGGGCTGTAGAGAGTATGGTTGTTGAGAAGATTAGCATAAAAAATAAAGTTAAGCAGTTTGAATCAGGACAATAGAAAATATGGCTTGAATATATCTTAGGAATCAGCCAGGCTTCACCCTGTACAGGCTCAGAAATACAAATATAAACTTTCATTTGCAAAAGAAGCCCCTTGGCAACCCACTCAAAAAGGGCTACCTAGAAAACTGGTTCCCTGGGATTCATTTAATCATGTTTAGCCATCTAGGCACTCAGAAGCCACTGCAGCCATGATCCAAGGGGCCTAGTTACAGCTTAAGCTGCAAGCAGACAACAGAGTCATCTGATGGCTTTGCAGGCATGGGAAATACAAGAGTTGGAGTCATGAAGGCTTACATTCAGATTTCAAAAAAAGGCCTGGAAGGTCAATCAAGGAGTCTCTGAGAGGGCAGTATATAAAGCTATGAGGGTGAAGCCAGAGATACACTGGAGATACCAGGAAGTTGAAAATACCAAGAATGTGGAATGATTAAGGGAAGTTATGACAGTGAGTAGAGCCAGCACAAGAGAGAAGTCATGTGGGCTGCAATGGGTAAGACCATAGGAATGGGGCTGCCTGAGCCTTTTGGAGCTGACATCTCACCATAAGCACACTGGCTGCTGGATATGCAGCTATAGTAGTTAATGTTTGTCCTCCTGGGTTTCAGACTTGCTTAGGTCCCATTCCTTCCTTTCCCCCTGTTTCTCCATTTTGGAATATTTACCCTATTCCATTGTATGTTGGAAGTACTTAACATTCTTTTTTATTTTTACATGAACTCACAGTCAAAGGTTTCAGAGAAGACTTTGGGCATGGATCTTTCAGCAATGCCAGAATCATTTAGATTCTGGTAACTCTTAGAGATGGACTAAATGCATTTTGCATAATGAGATAAATATGAGCCTTTGGGAAGTCAGGGTGAGAATGTTATGTCCCCCAAAAGTCTCATGTGATTGGAAGTTGACTGAATTACGGGTGTGCTATATATACTTATTGATGGATTAGTCCAACAATGAGTTCATAGCTGACTTGTTGTCAAGAGGTTTCGGCTCG